TATCAATGAATCAATCAATGAATTTGTATGTATCAAATTCTCTATTAAAATCAACTCGAATGGTTAGCAACTATCTGACTGTTCTTGGGATAGGAATTGGAATAGGAGGGTTTTGAATTTGGATATGGATGGGGAATGTCGAATTTTGATAGGGAGGGAATTCCAGAAATTGACAGAGCGAACAATAAAGGAATTTTGGAATGAGGCAGATCTGTGAGAAGGCATGTAAAGGTTAGAAGGTCGAGATCTTGTGGACAGGGAATGGACTGAGGATTTGAACTGGAGAAGGTTGTAGGCGTAAGAAGGACGATGGTTTGGTAGAGGAACGTACCTAGGAAATATTGTCTTCGGAAGGAGGGGAAAAGCCACTTTAACTCAGCGTAGTGGTGAGAAACATGGGAGTATCTTGGGGCCCCGATCACAAATCTTACGCAGCTGTTCATTAGTCTTTTCAGTCTATCACGGAGCTCCACAGAGAGGCCATCATACACCACACAGCTATAGTAAAAGTGGGGGAAAATGAGAGAGGAAACTAGGAGTCTACGCGTATGTTGAGGTAGGAGATGGCGGAAGTGATGGAATAGTTTGAGGGTGGAAATTGTCCGTCGAGAGATATGAGAAATATGGTGATTCCAAAGGAGGTTTTGATCAATGAAAAATCCTAAATTTTTAACAGAGGAGTAGAAGGAGATTGGCTGGTCATTAAGGTGAAGGATGGGAAAGTCTGGATGGGATCTAAGAAGGGACATGGAAGCAATGACAATGGCCTGAGTTTTGGCGGCATTTAACCTTAATCCATTTACATTTGCCCAGGCACTGATTCAATCTAGGTCTTCTTGGATCTTGGCAAATGCCCCCAGTAACTCAGGAGGGGAAAATGATAGGTAGATCTGTGAATCGTCTGCATAAAGGTGATGGGAACAATGGAGAATTGATTTAGGTAGGTCGTTAATGTAGGAGCTGAAAAGGAGAGGAGATATGCTTGAACCCTGGGCAACTCCAGAGGATAAAGAAAGGAAGGCAGATAGTGGTTGGTTGGGTATGGAGACTGCTTGGGTACGTTGTGAGAGGAAAGATTGAAACCAAGAGGTGGAACTATTGGAGAAGATAATAATTTCAGTTTGTTGAAAAGGATGGAATGGTTAATGGAATCGAAGGCTTTGGAGAAGTCGAGAAGGATAAGGATGGTTAACTTTTTATCATCTATTGCAGTTTGAATGTCGCTGGTGATTTTAATTAAGGCGGATTGTGTGGAGTAGCTAGGACGGAAACCAGATTGGAGAGGATCAAGTTGGTTGGACTTTTCAAGGAAGTTGGAGACTTGGGATTGCACCAATCTTTCTTGGGGTTTTGAGAGTTGTACATAGTTTTTGATTATTATTTTACTTTTGTTAATTTTATACTTTCTGTGTATATGGTATGAATGTGTTATATCATATATCACTATAATTATTGACAACGTGACTGATTGTTATATTTCTAAATGAATAGTTTTATCTGTATTGTATATAGCTGGTTCACCTAAGGTTTTCTTTACTTTTTAGTTTATTTTATTAATTTGTTACAAACTTTTAGGCCAATATTCTATTCTTTTTATACAACTGTGTTGTTCTAAAGGGACTTAGTCCCAAAATAAAGTGTGTTTTTTTTCTATATCTATCTATCTATAAAATAGAATGTTTTCGAAGATAATGGAGAGTGACGAAAAAAATATAAATAATAATTTCTAAAAACTAACATTATTTAACGTGTCAGGTGTTTTTAAGGAAATTAAATGAAATTTTCTTACTAAATGTAAACTTTCATATTTTTTTTTTAGTTTGAAAAAGTATTTAAAACCAACGGATCCAAGGCATTGACATTGTTTAAGATAATATTTGATTGTATATGATAAGTAAGATAATATTTATGTATATTGTAAATTTTATATAATATCTTGTTTGAAAGAAAAAGTGAAATATAAAAATATTTCATGGATACGTTTATAACCTTAAATATATTTACTGTGATTTAATAACTTTAGATCTGATATTATATTTAAATAATTAGGTATCTATCGTCCATTTATTCCGAAAAACTATTATGTAACCGTTTATAAAATTAAATTAGTGAATAATTTGATAAATTTTCCCTTTGCGAATTCCAACAGAATCCACTTACAATCGGTGTGACAACTTTTGACCTGTCTGTGACAGACGATGCAAATTTCTTAATTCGGTTTTAGTAAACTTTGCAATGGAAAATAACAGTTTAATAACTAATAGTTGTACAATCCATAATCAACGGTTACAATCCATAATCAACCGGTGGTGTAATAAATAAGACTTTTGATATTTTAATTGTATATATGATTTGTTAGCTGTAATCTTTTGGCTTTAGCTCAGTTAAAAATGCAATTCAAAAATTTTATAATAGCCCAACATGGCCAGAAAACAATTTCTATTCTTGTTGAGCGGTAAGTGAAAGTTGTGTGTTGCGCGCACCAGATTTTTTATTTCAAATTCAACCTACTTTTATTTGTGGGTGTGGTAGTCGGAATCGATTAACGCGTTGTGCATAGCACCACCGTTGTCAAAAACCTGATATATGACAAAAATAGTCACGAGTTCGCATCCCGGTACCAAGGCGTCTTTTAAATCTCTGCCCACAACCTTTGGCCCGGGAAAACCCCGTATGGCCTTAACGGCGAAGAAGGACAACAAAAAAACAAAAACCTACTTTTAATTATTTTTAATTTTTCGATGTATGTATCAGTTATGTTATGCTTAGTTTTTAAAAGTGACCTCCAGTTTATGATTACGCCACTGCGTTTCGAATTATTTTTATTATTTTAGTTGGCCATTCGACCATCCGACATCTTGCTGCCCAGTATTAGTTAAATTTTTTCAAATGTTATATTCCTTATGTCCGTCAAAGCCGGACATGAGTCTTGGTGGTCTGCATCCAATCTTCTTTGATAACATAATTTATACTTAGGTTCATCAGCCACGCCTATTTTGTGGAGATGATTCCGCAGATACTGGTGGCCATCACCAAACGGAAGCAGGCAGGCTAATGCGACTCTTCTTGGTAGGTCAGCTGGGATCGGATTTTCCATTAAACACTTATAACTGGAGACCGGATTTCCATGTTACAGCCCATTTCATTCGCTTGTTCGCTGGCTGTAAAAACCCCGGACCCGAATATCTATTCGTTTCAAAATCTGTAGAATAATATACTTAAATTTTATATATTTCACATTTTGTGCTAAATTAAATGATTTATAAATATAAGTGTGTAAATGTGTGTGTAAATATTTACTTTTTTTATTTTACTATCTTACCCAAATTAAATTTATAATTTAAGTAAGACAAATATGAGGAAGGTAAATGATTCTGTGGTTGGTAAAAATTCGAATTTAACGTTACAAAAAGACGAAGCGAACACAATTGCAGACAGACTATTCGTGGAATAGAATTTGCTTCAGTTAATTTAATAAACAAACTGCCTTCCTTGTTTTTACTTGAATTCTCACTCTTCCTAAATTCTTTCAGTATTTCTTCCGGCTTTGAAGTGAACCGTAGATTATCATGAATTCGGCATCAATAAATCCAAATTGACATTCATAAAATCACGTTTGTCAAATTTTCCGCAAACATTAACTCTGTTAGAATCTTGAAATTTGTCACTTAGCTTAATCGTAATTTATTGTTGCATTAGGTTATGTATTGTTGTTGTTAGTTAATTGTAATTTGGATTTTAATTTCCAATGTTGCATTTTAATTCTTTTTTGACACAATATTTTAATTCAGAAGCTTAACATAAGGTTTGATAGGATTTCGATGTATTATTAATTTCATAAACTAAACGAAATAGATGATTTTTGCATGGTTTTGGGTATAAACTTGACAATTTTACATATTTTGCTGCACGTTTTTCGGATTTTTACTGCACTAAGATGCGGTCTCTACTTATAACGTTTTCTTCTACCTTTTCTATGTGCATTTTTCAAGTTTCTTTTTTCAATAGTACTTTTACCATTCGCTGAATTGAGTCGCAAGATTATGGATTATGGTTGAGGCAAATATGCTCCTCGCTTGGCGAGACCATCAGCTTCTTCGTTTCCTGAAATTCCTAAAATGGTAGGTGGTTCCTGAAATGGTAGGCATTCATTCATGTTAGTAACAGCGAGAATGGCCGCTTGAGTGTCGATCAAGAGGACAGGGCTCTGGTCTTACCTTCCACACAATGTTTTTGCGGCTATGAGGATTATTGCTTTCTCACCGTCGAAATCGGACCATCCTGACCCGCCGCCATGTCTTGGAATTAACTGAAAAATATCGAAACTTCCCAACTGCATAAGCGGAACTACTTTACTAAAATTTTCAGCTTCATAGCCATTGTCAATTTTCAGAGACGGTGATCAATAGATCAGTAATCGAATCACATCTTTTTTTTTAATATTCTAGGGAAATAAGTGAAAATAAATTCGATTAGAATTTAAATAAGTTGTTGTTTGCTACTGTAAATGTGATTTAGATAACTTAAATATAATTCTGTGCGGAAATTCATTAACTTTGAAAGAAATAACTTCCCATGACCGGTCCTACCATAGGGCGAATGGAGTGGCCCCTGTAAGGGCAAAGTCCTAAGGGGCGCTTACTCAGTTGTAAAATATCAATAAATGGTAAAGTGGCAAATAAATAAGTGGCAATACAAATGTCCATAGGTGGTATGTAAAATGTGGTCTATTTTAAAAATAAACTATAATTATTGTAACAAGGGGAGCGCTAAAATTGGATTTTCTCCTTCCTAAAATTTCTCTCGTGCCTTTACTCTAAACTACCTGTAGTTTGCAGACGTGTATTTTTTAATGTATTAGGAGAATAGTATTTATTTTTAGAATTTCCAAATATTTTTTTTAACCTTTTATGAAGTATTGATATCATTACGATAGTATCAAACCCCGTCTATCGATACAATATTAAAAAATATCGATACCAATAATATAAGATACCCTACCCGCTGTTATTGGTTGCTGTTGCCGCCGTATTCCCTCTTATTTACGACCGGTTCATTTTGTGAGTTCTAAAAGCAAGAAAGTTATTTTTGTTTTCTTCCCAAATTTTGTAGTGACTTTCCTTTAAATAGTTTTAGAGACATAAAATGGAGGAGGATCAAAGCTTGGATAAACCTTATCGGGCCGAATATGCCAAAAGTAGTAGATCCAATTGCAAATCATGTAAAACACAAATTGCAAAGGATGTTTTGCGTTTAGGAGTAATGATACAGGTATGTCTGTTATCATATATGTTTAATTCTTTGGTTTTTACGAATCGTATTGGCATACAACAGTTTTTGGTAAACTTTTTAATTTCTTTTTAGTCTCCTGTTCATGATGGTAAAATTCCCCATTGGTACCATTTCATGTGTTTCTTTGGAAAACAAAGGCCTTCTTCAGTTAATGATATTGCCCATTTTGATTCACTTAGATGGGAAGATCAACAGAAACTTACTGAAACATTAGGTAATATTTCATACCATGTCTTTAATGAAGTTATATGGTTTTACTTTATTTAATTAAAAGAAATGATGTGAGGAACATAGTAAAATATTATAACTTCGAAGACTTTTGTAGCCTGTAACATATAGAAATGATAGTTAATCAGACAATTTTCAAACTACATTTCATGTATTCATATACCTCTAGCTACTTTCTGTTCAGTTCTATGCTATTTAGTTTTTTATTACACAAGAATACTCAGTCATTCCTAGTAGCCACAAGTTTGTATTTTTACCTTGTAATTAATTACTATACATATAAGAGAAGTTTCACTTGCGCAATATTAATTGAGGTTTAAAGTTTTGATTTATTATTTTATTTATTTGACAATTTTAAAGCAGAAATGTTCTATGTGGAGCTGTAGTTGGTAATTATTCTGTTTAAGTCTGTAAAAGAAGCATGGCATGACATGAGGTGGTTCTCAATATTCATAATAAACATAGTAGAATTAGCAAGGTTGAGCCTGTCTTGCATCTTTAACAGCAGTCTGAAATCCATATCAAGAACAGTTGAACTAGTCCTAGCTGTGTTGAAAGATTTTTATAGCTTCAATACACTAAGACTGTGCATTGATAAGCCTATATTTTTTCAATTCTAGAAACCTGACTTTTTTTCTCCATTATTTTTTCTGTTTCATGGCACTAAGCTCTTTTTAATTTTAATATGTTTATTATTTATTTTTAATTATCTACGAGGGGGGAGGGGTTGGTTTGACCCTTTACTTATTGTAAATGAAGTTAAGAAACGTTAACAATCTGCCAGAGGAGAGTCTTGCAGATGAACTCAGATCAGGTCGTCCATTGATCATTAATGATGACGTTTTTATTAAATGTGTGAACCAGGACCCACAAACAACTACTTGACAAAGTGAGTTGATATTTGCAAAATTTTGCTTCAAAATCTGAAAGATAGCAGGTTCTGGAAAATAATTTTCACAAGTGACAAAAGTGGATATTTTTATAAAAATAGCAAATATAAGCAGTGATTAGGGCCAGGTGAAGCTGCATAACTGGAGGTTTGCCAAGATTGGTTTGGAGAAAAAGTTATCCCTTGTTGATGGAACTTCAAAAGTGTTTTGCATTTTGAGCTTGTTACTGATGGTTGGGCAGTGGACTTAAACATTTACTATGACCATCTAGACAGATTTTATACAGTTTTGAGTTCAAAGTACTCTGCTTTGGTCAACAGAAACCAAGCCATTTTGCGACTTAATGCCCCTGCACATCGTTCTTGTTTGACCAAAGAAAAATTATTGGAACTGTAAGCAGTAAACATTTTGTCTTATCCTGCATATAACCCACATATTGCACTATTAAGTTATAGTTTGTCTAGATCTATAACTCATTTTTTAAAAGATTGGAGCTTTGATAATTACAAGGACGTAAAAATTGGATATTAAGAGTTCTTTGCCATAAAACCAATGAATGGTACTGGCAGAAAAATGAGTGAAAATAGTTGAAAACAATGGACTTTACTTTGAAGAGTATTTCAGTGATGTTTAAGATATTTAATATGAAATAAAGCTATACTTATGCTCAATGACTATTGTAACAACCTAGTATTTATGAAACAAATGATCATCTATTATGTAGTTGTTGAATATTTGAACTAATATTGAGAAATACATAAATCATTAAACAGTGATTTTCAAAGTAAAAGTAAGGAAGTTTGTAACATCCATGAACAATAGTTTATTGTCTTTATTTGCTGTTTGCAACTGATGGACCATTGTTCACGAAATATTCGGACACTAGTTCTGAATTGCGTTTCCAATATGGCAGCTGGTTTAATGATCACTTTGAACACCCTGTTAATGAGATCCTAAGCAATATGAAAGTAGCTGAGTATTGGCAATCATTCATGTTCATATTAAAAATGACTAAATATTTTTTGTCTGAAATACTAAAAAAGTGAAGTAGTAAGGAAAAACTGAAACATTATTTTTTCATGATGGTAAAATATGAATTTTATTTTAGATAATATATAAAATTATTTTATTTGTTATTACATCCTTTGTGCTACTGCCATATGCAGGCCTTGGCATGGAATAGAAAATTTACTCATTTGTCTCAGTTTTGTGCAATGGTTTACCACTTGTTTAATATAATCATTACACCACTTAGCCTATCTGTCCCACTTAGCAGGCTTTCGGTCTTTCAAAATTATTCATTATTGATTGCAGCAGTGTTTCATTTTAATCACTATTACTTAATTACTAGTGTTATAATTACGAGATTGTGCTTAATAGTTGTAAAGAACTCAGGAGATGTTGATTATCATTAATTGAAAAGGAAATAATGTTTATTTTGATATTTACATCCTACAAAGAAATGTGGTTTTTGAAGAGCAGCTGAGAAACATTTGAAAATCCCTTCATGTTATTTTTTGTATGAAAAGAAGAGAACGTGATGGTGACTGAAGTTGTCTTAAACTAGCCAAACCAACCAGATGTAAACAATCTGCTATGATTGAGGATTGGAAGATAGGTTGTCTAAATCTATTTTCAGGTTCACTAGAGATATTTCAGGATTCTACCTACTGTATACTCAGAGTGATCTTGAAACCGTTTGCCATCTTGAAGTAATGATACGGAACTAGGACCAACATTTTTTTTTTTCATAATAAAAAGAAACCAATAACAAGATTTTGTAGATTATTGTAATTTTTAACCACTCGATTGTTTTGTAGCTGAAGCTTCCAAGAAAGGACCACCGGTCACTCAAAAAGGGAAAAAAGCCACAAAAAGGGGGCAGCTCAATGGTCTTCAAGATTACACTGTTGAGTATGCAAAATCTTCTAGGGCAATGTGCCGTGGATGTGAAGTAAAGATAACTAAGGTTAGTAGTATATTTTGCCATTATAATATATTATTTGTTACGGTTATTTTCATATTTGCTGCTTAACGCTTTGTATTCATTATATAAACAGGAAGAAGTTAGAATATCCAAAAAAGATTTTGAAAGTGAAGGTGCGAAAATGTATGGTGGACAAGAGAGATGGCACCATGTTGAATGTTTTGCTAAATTACGTAATGACCTACAATTTTTTGAAAGTGGTGATGCTTTGCCTGGTTTTGAACAATTGAAAAAAGAGGACAAAGAAACTGTTCTAAAGGCTCTACCAAAAATAGAAGCGTTAGTCATTTTTAATAATTCTTTTTAAGTCATTTGCTTTTTATAAGTTATCACTTTGCATTTAATGTACATTTTTATCCTACAGTATATAATTTTACCTGATCATGATTTTAGTATTTGTATTAATCACTTTATATAGAAATACTTCGGTCAAATGAAATTTAACTCATTAATTTTTTATCATACTGATTACAGACAGTCGACTGCAAAAGTTAAGGATGAAGTTGACGATGCTCCACCTGAGAAGAAAATTAAAAGTGAAAAAAAAGAAATAAAAACTGAAACTTCTTCAGTTGATGAGAATTTGTTAAAAAAGCAAAACAAACTTATGTTTAAATACAGAGACCAACTTAAAAATTTATCAAAAAAGGAACTTACAGATTTGTTGTTGTGCAATAATCAAGATGATCCTGTTGGTACTGATAGGGTAAGTAGGTCAAAGTATTTAATTTTTCTTTTTCTTTATTTCTTCCACTTTCCTATATACACTGACTGGCAAAAAATTCCACCCACTTCATTTTTTCATATTTTCATCTAAACATATTTCTGCTTTGGATTGTTTTTAATGAATAAATAGGTCATCATCATTTTGTTTGTTTTCAATTAGGAATGTTAATATAGAGGACAATAACCCTTAATCCTTAATTTAATGAAATGATTCTAGATTCCAATGTTTAATTTCTATGGAATCAAAATGTTTATTCAGTATTATTAGTTCAGTGCCGTTTCTTGCAGCACATTTCTTAGTCTCCGACTTTTAATTTTTTCAATATTAATTTTAAAAATGCCTCTTAGTGCTGAGGATGTTGCGCATGGTGTGGCTCTTATTGATGGTGGACGTTCCATTAGATATGCTGCTAATGCCATTGGAGTTCCATATGAAACTTTACGAGATGCCGTCAGGCGTTTTCGGGAAACTGGTTCTTACAATAGAAGGCCTGGTTCTGGACGGCCTAGGGTAACAAAACCACGGGATGACCGATTTGTGACTGAGAATTTTACGAAACCGCCACCCTACCGTTGTTCAAGCGATTCATCAGCTCGGAGAAGTTCGAGGTGTGCAAATTTCTGAACGTACCACTCGGAGGAGATTAAATGAGTATGGATTAATGGCTTTTCGTCCAGTAAGAGGACCAGAGTTGACCAGAACTCACAGAGTAACATGGCTGGCTTTTGCTCGAGAACACAGCTATTGGACTATGGACGAATGGAGGCTGTACTTTTTACAAATGAGTCAAGATTCGCTCTTCGATCTCCAGAGGGGCGTGAAAGGGCGTGGAGAAGAAGAAACGAAAAATATGCAGCCTGTAATTTTTCCCAGAGCCAACCTTTCCAACATGGTTCCTTGATGGTGTGAGCTGGGATTTCAATGGAGCGCCACACAGAATTGGTTGTTGTTCGTGGAGGGTCTTTGATGGCCATTCGCTATGTAGATGAGATTTTGGAACCTCATGTGTTGCCTATCTTCAACGAAATTGGCGATCATTCTATTCTAATGCACTCCCACATGTCGCCCGCATAGTGCAGATGTTCCTTCAACAGAACAATATTGAGGTTTTAGCCTGGCCAGCACGTTCTTCAGATTTGAACCCCATTGAGCATTTATGGGATAACCTCGGAAGACGAATAAGAGCGCGTGCAACACTTCCTGATACACTGCCACGACCTTGAAAGGGCTCTTCGGGAGGAATGGGCTATCCTCCAGCAAAGGGACATTTCCTGACTGGTGGAAAGTATGCCGAGGCGTCTTCAAGAAGTAGTGAAGGCAAGAGGAGGAAACACGCGCTACTAAACGATGATGTAATTAATTTCTTTTAGAATAATAATGGTTCGTTTTACAATTTTTTTTTCTCTAATCTTTCTTACCCAATCACATTTTGATTATTAAAGGTAAAAAAGATTATAAAATTCCAGAAATACTAAGTATTATCTACAAATACCATGTATTATATACAAATACAACTTTTTTTACAAGTGGCAGAAATATTTTTGGATGAAAACATGAAAAAATCAAGTGGTTAATATTTATTTCTCGGTGGCCCCAAGAAATGATTCTTGACACTCCCGCACTGATAAGTATGCAGTGGCTACCTCAATGTAGCTGTAAGGGGTTATACAGAATGTTGGATTATTAGAATAGGTTATAGTAGAATGTTGGACATTTTAACAGAATCCCATCATTTTATACCGTAGGTCCAAATTGGTTTTAGTAAAACTTTATTCAGAGTAAGTTTGTTAGTCACAGATTATTTATTGTCTGTCAAATAACCTGGGTAAAATACCGTATTGTCAAATAAATTTCATTTGTTTCTGTCCAATATGACTTCTCCATGTTTTTTTTTAATATCTAGTTAAAAACTCAAGTGTCTAATGATATCTAATGGAGGTATTTCTATGTTATTGAAATATATTTTGGGGGAAGGTGTATGATTAAAAGTGAATACTACATATACAATTTTTTTTTTTTTCATTCATTACAATTTTCCACATTCTTTCCACTTAATTCCAATTTTCCACCATTCTTTCTATAGCGATACTTGTTTGTTAATGTGTTTCTGATGGAAAATACTTTTCCTGGCCTCATAATTTTTTTTTATTTAATGACAATGGTCATAGTTTGTTAATTTCCTTTAAATATTCACACTTGCTCAACTAAATACCAGCAGATCAGCATTTGCCTTTTTTTTGATGTAGATAATCATTTTTGACTAATATAAATGATCATTTTTAAAATATATACATTAATGTAATAAAATTCTTATATTATATCTTTCAGAAACTTGATAGATTGCAAGATATTATGGCTTTTGGCGCTCTTGAAAAATGTACCAAATGTAAAGATGGTAGATTTATTTACCAATCTGGCATTGGTTATCAATGTAATGGGAATCTTACTGAGTGGACTAAATGTCTGAGTGTTGAAGAAAAGCCAAAAAGAAAAAAATTCAAAGTACCTGAAGAATATCGGTCCAAATACTTGTTTTTGTAAGTGGATTAATATTTATAATTGCCTATTAGATTTTTCATAGAACTATTAGATATGAGATCTCTTTTTTATTTATTTATTATTTCTTACCTAGTAAAGGATAGAGTTGAGCATATCTGAATTTATCAATTTTAATATGAAATATATTCATAAATATAATCTGTGAATACAAATACAAACATTATAAAGAATAAAGAAATACAAATATGCTGATATTCACACCCGTAATTCTGAATATCCTTCTATTCATGATTCTAAAAATGAAGTTGTTTCTATTTACTGATGTCAACGGTGAAACACATGTTTACAATTTTCTCAAACGACGCTTGATTTTCAACTTGAAGAAAATTTTTTTGTTAAAAAAGTTTACTATACTGGTGTTTGTTATTAAAATTAAGCCAAATGCTGATTATCAGTGACCAAAAAACTAACTAAAGTCAAAGTTGTCAGTCCGCCATTTTGGGCCAGTGTGTTTACTTTTTATTGTGATAACATTTGCTTTTTTTAAATAAATAGTTACAAGGAACACAACGATATGCAATTTATAGGAATGTGTGGGGGAGAGGAGAAGGCTGCATAGAAGGGGGGTCTGGCGCATAGACTATAAACAATGATTTGAATAAACTTACATGTAAGTAACATTGAAATAAAAATATATAGGCATAAATTTGGGGGCAGGTGGCCGAATGGGCTAACGGCGCACATCACCGCCGTTGCCCGGCAACCTGATATATGAGACAATGGATTTAAAATAGTCACGAGTTCGCATCCCAGTGCGGGGGGAGTCTTTTAAATCCTCGCCCACACCCACTGGCCGAGGAAATCCTCGCCTCCTCCCCCCCCCCCCCGTATAGCCTTTGAGGCGAGGAAGGGGAAGACCCAAAAAAAATGTATATATATATATAGGCCTAAATTTAAATTAAAAAATGTTTATATTTTAATATTGGCAGACCTAGAAGGCATTTTTATTATACCTATTGTAGGTTAACATTTTTTATTTTGTAAACTCAACTGTTGTAAACACCCCTTTAGCTACCATATGTTAGAAGAATATAATTTTTTAATAAAAATCAAAAGGGGGGTGGGTTTTTAAAAATTTAAAAATAAAGGTTTTGGTTTTCTTGAATTATACAAAAAATATATTTTTAGAATATATCAAAAGATATCATGTCATATATCAAAAGAAAGAACATAATCAACCGAAAACTATGATACCAGTTTCAGCTTTCTTGTTCAAATAGTTTTTGAGAAATAACTCAAAACCTATTTAAAAAACGCACCGGTTTTTTGAAGTTTTTTATTTAAAAAATTTATAACTCAAAAACCATAAGTCCAAAAAATCTAAAATTTTATATTAATGCATTCAACAAATAACCAAAAAATTCAAGATCCTCTGGGTCAGGCCCTGGTTGATTTGACATGGAATGACCCATTAGCATATGTTCACTGACTGATATATTGTGTGAATTATTCACACAGGCCAATTAAGTTAAGAAATTAAATTGTTAAGTAATTTGATGAATTTCCCATCCGTGAAGTCCAAACATTGCGTCATTATTATAACTATTTTTGGTATATATACAAAAGATAAAAACAAAACATTAGTGGAGGTAAGATCTTGTAAACTTATTTTCTGTTAAGAAATTAAAAAATCAAACAGTTAAAGGATTACGCTATATAACACGTTAGCTGCGGCTAGAGTCTCCGGTTTTTTATATTTATCTCAATTTCAGCCGGGATTGTTTCGAATTTTTCCTATCTTACGAAGTCTCTAAAATGGTCATTTTAAAAAATATTTAAATGGGAGTTGGATAGATGTAAAAACGAATACAAACATAAATAATCAGTACATCTAATATAAAGCTATCGGATGCCGCAGACTGGACCACAGCTAACTTGTTAAATAATACTTTTATTAAACGATGTAAATGCTTTAAAGAAATCAAATATTATGTAATGTACTCCTTTATTGGAAATGGATAAAAAGGGTTTAATAAATTAATGTTCAACAGTTAAAAGGCAAGCTAATCTATCTAGTTCTACTAGTTCAGGCAAAAGAAAATGTCCGCTTTAGTTTCCCCAGAAGGAAAATCCCAAAGAGGAGAGGGACAAAGGTTTTTGTTTTGGAAAGCAGTTGTGTGGCTGCAGTGAAGAGAGGATAGGAGAAGTGATCCTGGCACCATTGGGAAAACCCTAGTAATAGTATTATCATCTTGGAAGTTGTTTGACAGAGAGACTAGTTGTTTTGAATTACAAGAGAGAGTATCTCTCAGGGAGCTTGAGTTGAGTAGCAGATAGTGTCACCAATCGGGAAGTTGTGTTTGGCATAACATTGGAAAGCATTTGAAGATAAATGAATTGAGTGCAACAAAGGAAGAAACAGTGTATATAGAAAAAAGGTTAGCTTGCCAATTCACACTTGACTCTATTTTAAATTCAGTGTTTAATTTTAGTGTAAATAATAATAGTTTGTCTGAGTAGATCTGATTGTCAGTAACCCACACCTGAGATAAATAAATATATTAATACTCTCATAATGTTGTTTATTATTATTTAATAACCTCTTATTTATTTTGGAAGTATCCTAATGGTATAAAGTGATCTTCCATGAGGTCATATTATTATTTGTAAAATATAAGAGAGATGTTACAATTAAGAATTAGAGAATAATTTGTAATGTTATTGTGAATATAAAACTCATGTAACATACAGCTTGAATTTTTTTTAAGAATTAATGATGACTAGTTACGAAACTAATTCAAATGTATACATAATAGAAAAAAAGTATAAAATATTGAAGGAGGTATTCTTGGAACAAATATTTTATTTAACAGATTTAACATTCCTAATTCCTTTATGGAAAATCTAACTGACCCAGGTTTTAATGATTAGGATCAACATGCTGGTGGTATATTACGCGATATCAAATTATTTCTCAAATTCATAGAAACTTATTGAAAACTGCTTTAGGAGGGTTATTTTTTCTGAGTTTTCGAAGCCTAAAATGAATACAAATGTTAATATTTGTTATATTACTAGAAAACGAACTGTAACTTCTTTCCAGAAAAGATTTGAAGTTGATTTAGTATGTTAAACCTTTTCCACTACAACCTATGCAGGGTCTTGGGTTGAGTACTTTGTAAGGAAGTACTATTTCTTGGTGAAAGGAGTTGATTTGACTGAATAAATTCAGTAAATTAAAGTTAGAGAGCATCAGCAAAGTAAATTCAGACAGGTATTTTATGGTTTCAGTGCCCATTAAGATTGATTCAATATCTCTTGGAGATTCATTTGACAGTGCAAAAAAGAGATTTCTTAAATATTTGACTTAAAGTATAAATATTCTGGACTGATTGCTGACTGTATTGATTTCGGAAATGTGGAAATGATATTTAATGTTGGCCTCATTATTATCCATTTATCATACATCATTATTATTTTCAGGGAAGAGTACAAATGTAAAGTGCAAGATCGATATTTTGTAAAAGATGAAAGACCTAAAGTAAGTCAGAATTCTGAACCAAGTACGAGGTATGGCTAATCATTTTGTTTAAAATACAACTAAAAACTTCAATCGTATTTTTATATCTTATTGTAGCTTAGAGATATTTTAAGTCACATATCTTCATTTATTATTTTTTAGTGCAAAGATAGAGAAATTTACTCCATTTCGAGGAATGACTTTTTATATTATTGGTAAACTGGAGAAAAGTAAAGATCAAATCAAAACCAAAATTTTAAAATGGGGTGGAAATTTAGCTTCAAAGTTAACAAGTGATGTTGTTGCAATAATTTCAACTCCAGGTACATTCACATAATATCTCTCTTATTTCAATTATGATTTTATAAATATACATAGTGTCAGTCATTTATATTTTTGTTATTATCTTTTTTCCTTTTAGATGAAGTAAATAAAATGAATAGTAAAATGGAAACTGCCCAAGAATTAAACATTCCTGTTGTACCTGAGTCATTTATTGAAGCTTGTGAAAAAGGTGGAGCCATAGATAAAATTACAGAATCTGTTATTTCACCATGGGGTGGTAATGTAAGTATTTGTACATAATGATACTACATGTATGTAGTATATAGTATATACTATATTTAATATATAGTAAGGGGAAATATTCTGATTGTGAATCCATTTTTGAATCTTGAGTTTTCAACAGAAATACACGTTTTGAGCTCTCCTGAGTCCAAATAACCATGTCCCACAATATGGTCTGTGTGTGTGAACAGTCTAGCTCAAAAACAAAAAGTCGTACAAAACTGGAAATGCATATTTATGATAAGTATATGCCTGAGCTGGGATGTTACAGCAACTTTTTCGTCAAGATCGGCTAACCAGAAGTGGCACTTTATGATTTAACACATTGTTAAGATTTTCTCAAAAATGGCTCCAACGATTTTGATTGAAACAGCTATTTTTTAATTATTTATTTTTTTTATTATGGCGTAGGGAGGTGGCGGTCCCATCGCCCGGTCATTGTACCGCAACCAGCCACTGGCCCTCCAGGTTGGGGGAACACTTACACGAACACTCACACACCAAGTACACTTTAGACAGCACACTACAACACCTAAACACTACAGACAAAGGTCACCTACAGTACACACCCTAGGGTCACCTTCCCTAGGTAGCCGCCCCGGATGGGGGAGCTAGTCAGGATGCTCGGAGGAGGCAGCCCCTCTACCTGACTCGGGGGCAGTGGGCTGATAACCCACCCCCCCTAAAGTACCTTATTACGAAACCTCAAAGAGAAGAAGCCGGACTGAATTACGGTAACAGACCCAGGAAACGCCTAAATGACCTAAGAATTGGATTTTGGAACATTTTATCATTACATAGACTAGGAGCACTTCGTGCGCTCCTTGCAGAAGTGGACACATACAGAATCGACATAGCAGCTATCCAAGAGGTCCGATGGATAGGACAGGGAATTATGGAGAAGAAGTACCATACACTCTACTATAGCTGCCATGAAAAGCATCACATCTTCGGTACCGGATTTGTTGTGGGAGGCAGAGCTCGACAGTTGGTGATGCGATTTACTCCCATTAACCAAAGGTTATGCTACATTCGGCTTAGAGGAAAATTTTTTAATTTCTCTCTAATCAACTGCCATGCCCCAACAGAGGTGTCACCTGAGGAGGATAAGGAAGCATTTTATGAAGAACTTGGACGCGTGACAGAAAGCTGCCCCAAAAATGATGTTAAAATCATTCTTGGTGACTTTAACGCACAAGTTGGTAAGGAGGTGGCACTCATGCCGACCATAGGAACCCACAGCTTGCATGAGACCAGTAATGATAATGGGCTACGGATGGTGAACTTTGCTACATTGCACGGACTGGTTGTTGGAACAACTCTTTTTCCTCGAAAGAATATCCACAAAGCAACATGGATCTCTCCAAATGGGCAAACAGCATCACAGATAGACCATGTACTCATTAGTGCCCGTCACAAGTCCAACATGATAAATGCAAGATCTTATAGAGGTGCAAATATGGACACGGATCACTATTTGAGCATTGCCGAGGTCAGATCACGAATTTCGCTGATTAAAAACCACTACCAACGACCAAAGAAGAAGATTGATGTGGTTAAACTTAAGGACTCAGACCACCAATATTCGTATCAACAAGCTGTGGAGACGAAACTTAACGAAGAAGTAATTAATGACAGCTCTATGGTCGATGAACAGTGGAAGAGATGCAGCAACGCAATGAAACAGGCAGCAGAAGAAGCTCTTGGCTACGAGACTAAATCTAGAAGGCCCCCATGGTTTGATGCTGAGTGCCTTCAAGCAGTAAAAGTGAAAAATGAAGCCTACAGAAAGAAGGTTCAGCGTCCCACAAGGCTCTCCCAAGAAACATATAGAAGAAAAAGACGCGAAGAGAAGAGATTATTCCGCGGAAAGAGAAGAGCTTGGGAAAATAAGAACATGGAGGACACAGAGGCATTGCGAGGCCAAAATGAAAGTCGCCTGTTCTTTCAGAGAATAAACGAGGGTAGGGCAGCTTTTAGGCCCAGAGTGACGGCATGCAAAGACACAAATGGAACTCTTTTAAGCCACAAAGATGACGTACTAAGGAGATGGGTACAACATTTCAAAGGCGCATTAAACAGAGGAACGGTGCCTGGAGAAGTAGGTGTTATGAAGGAAGACTCCCTGAATTCTATTGAACCCCCGGATGAGGAGGAAATGGAAAACGCCCTAAGGAAATTGAAAAATGGAAAGGCGCCAGGCCCGGACGGAATCCAGTCAGAGCTGTTGAAATGTGGAGGTGAAGAACTCAAGAAAGCTCTGCATGATTTAATGCTGACCATCTGGGAGAAGGAAGCTATGCCTACGGAATGGGCAACAGCCATTATCTGCCCAATACATAAGAAAGGAGATCAAACAGAATGCGCTAACTATCGAGGAATCTCACTCCTTTCGTGTGCTTATAAGCTGCTCTCTAACATTCTTTTTGAGAGGATCCTCCCGTATTCTGAAAAGGAACTGGGGAAATATCAGGCTGGATTTCGAAGAGGACGCTCAACGACTGATCAACTGTTCTCTCTGAGGATGATCCTAGAAAAGACTATGGAGCGTAAGGTAGTCACCCACCATTTATTCCTGGACTTTAAAGCAGCATACGACAGCGTTGATAGAACGCAACTATACTGTGCCTTGGAGGAGCTAAGCATCCCTCAGAAGCTCGTACGCCTAATCAAGATGACCATGGACAGCTCGAGATGCAGAATACGCGTCGGTTCTGACGACTCCGAAGAGTTTAAAGTGAGCAGTGGGGTTAGGCAAGGGGATGCCCTCGCCTGTCTATTGTTCAATTTGGCAGAGGAGAAAGCTGTAAGAGACTCCGGTATTCAGACCAAAGATATAATCTTCAATCGCCTGACACAGCTTCTTGGTTTTGCTGATGATATTGACATAGTAGGTAGGTCTGAACGGGCTCTCAGAGAAGCGTTTATAAGCCTTGAAGCAGCTGCAAGACCACTTGGTCTAGAAGTCAACGAGAGGAAAACTAAGTATATGAGAGTTGGCGGTGAGGTTGATCTGAACTCTCCATTTGAGGTAGGTTCTTTTAAGTTTGAGAGAGTGAAAAGTTTCATATACCTTGGGTCTGAAATCAATAGCAAGAATGACATGGCTCAAGAAATACAAAGAAGGATCACGGCTGCCAATAGATGTGTCTTTGGACTTGGCCGACACTTAAGAAGTAGGTACCTCTCAAAGAAGACCAAGCTGATCATATACAAGACCCTTGTTCGGCCTGTTTTGACATATGGCTCAGAGGCTTGGACGATGACCAAAAGGGATGAGATGAAGCTGAGTGTCTTTGAGCGAGGAGTCCTCAGAAGGATTTATGGTCCAGTAAAGGAGGGTGATGTCTGGAGGAAAAGAAAAAATAGGGAGCTCAGTTCTCTCTATGCAGACATCGACGTAGTCACGTATATTAAACTGGCCAGACTAAGGTGGGCAGGGCATGTGGCCAGAATGAGCACCCTTGAAATACCAAAAAAAATAATGATGGAGGAGCTGCACCTCGTAAGACGGGTAGGAAGGCCGAGGACGAGATGGTTGGACAACGTGGCCTATGATGCGAGAACCCTGCTTGGTGTGCGGAATTGGAGAGCTGCAGCAGAAGATAGAGCCAACTGGCGGAGGCTCTTGGAGGAGGCCCAGTCTCGGTGACGGGATGTTGTGCCATACATGAATGAATTTTTTTTATTTTGAGGAGTTGGTTTGGGTGTGATCAATACATAATACTGTATATTATAATATCCTTTTATTGTATAATACTATTGTATTATAATATATAGTATTGCACATTGTCCGCACTCCTTATCAATTTTTTCTCTAACTATAAATATGATCTATCATTTCCATAAAATTTTTAATTTTTTATCTTCCATTATTATTGGAATAAACTGTGTCACACTTTGAAATGGTTGGTTTAAGAAACATCATAACATCTAAGAAAAGTGTTAGAGTGTATGTGTAATTATATTTTTCTCACTCAAGTTTTACCATGAATTGTTTAATCCCACTTTCATGAGTTATTCTTTTCACTTACTTTGAGTGCAGTCTATGAATTTGACCTTCAGAGTGAGATAATCACATTTAATTGAGGAGGTCTGAGGCCAGTGAATAAAATAATAAAATATAAATATTGAATTTAAAAAAATATGTTGTACCATAAAATGAACATTGTTTTTAATCTGAGAGTAATAAACAAAGTGCACTTTATAGGGTATTTGATTTTTTAAAATTAAAATTCCTTATAATGAAAATAATTCAATATTCACATTTTAAATGAATATTGAATTGAGTCATATTGCATGGACTCCATCACTTCTGATCCCCTCAATCACTATATTTTAGCTGCCTTCAATAATTTATCTGTGTGTTTAATGACAAATTAATATCCCTTAAGTAAGGATTTATTCACGTAACTTAAATAATGATTTAATTACATTTACATTCAAAATAGTGACTTTATTTTAGGTAAAGGAAAAAGTGAATGAAGCAATACAAAAATCTGCTGCCGATAGAAAGAAATCAGGAAAAAGTGGAAGTTGGTTTTAACAAAAATACTTTTTTCAATGACTTTCATTGTTTGATGCTTTGGTATAGTTATGACTTTTACAGGTAGGTTTGAGAAGAGTGTATCAAAGGTAACATTAAAGGTTGTTGGTGGCTTAGCTGTTGATCCAGATTCTGGCTTAGATGATATTGCTCATGTTTATACTGATGGCAAGGATAAGTACACCTGTGTGCTTGGTCTTTCTGATGTACAAACTAACAAAAACAGTTTTTATAAAATTCAGCTCTTGGAATCCAACAAGAAAGACAAGTAAGTTTTTTAGCTTGGCCTAGAAAGTTTTATTTTTTTTTTGTTGTGAATCTATCAGTAAAAGGAAGATTAGTTTAAATGATATTTAAAAAATATTAATTTAGTTGAGGACCCATTACTTATGTGAAATTAATTCATTTTCTACTTTGTATTGTTACAATGCTATGTAAGTGATAAAAGCTATAGAAGCAATCCAAATCCCACATTTCAATGATTTTTTCTTTTTTCGTTTTACTATTCTTATTAACCTTGCAAAATTTAATTTAGTATCTTAAATACTTTTTGAGATATTAATTGTCCAAAATTATGAAAAATAAAGTTTTTGCATTTTAGACAACTCTAGCATTAGTGAAATAGTTTAAAAAGTTGGAAATTCATTACTTCGGCAATTTTCATCATATCACAATGATTTTTGCACAAAAATTTTCTGAAAGATCTAAAGAATAAGTTATTTTTAAATTAAATGATTAAATAAAATAATTAAATGATTCAATTATTATCAGTTCTAGATCTAGACTTTATAATTATTTAAAAGAAAAGAAAATATGCAAATTTTAAAGTAAGATTTAAGGTAAAAGGCGTTCAATTATCAAAGTATGTGTTGTGTTGATTTTTTAATAACCCTTTAGTTGTGATTTAACTGAATCAGAAATAAAATTGATAGTTTTTTTCTTCTAGTACAGTGGATTAAAAATTGATTAGTATATTGAACACCAATAATTTAATATTAACTGAATGGCATTTAGCAGAAAGAAACCAATTTACAAAATATGCAAAAATAACATAGATGTGGTTTTGAATGAGACAAATCTTTTTAAGTTTTAACTATAAAGAAGAATTTTAATAAACTAAAGTTAAAAAAATATTTAGAAAATAGAATTCTAATCTTTATGAAAAAAAAATGCTATTAAGTTAATTTTTGACCAATCTATCTGCATAATAGGTATATTTTGGGTTGAATAAAATTAGGTTAATAAAAAAATTTAATATCGACTGTAGGCAATGAAAATCTCATAAATGTTCCGTTAAATTTTACAAGGAAAAATAAGTTTTAAAAAATGTATAAGGTGATGCAGATTTAGTGTCTATATTTTTTTCATAAAACAATCCTTTCTTATTTATAGATTAGAGGCATATTGGGATAATATAGGAACCCCTGACAGTGCAATTAAAAAAAAAACAGTTCTATTTTAAACGTATAAATGTATTTAATTTCCAATGACAGTCATTTCATTACTAAATGTACTCATAGCATAAATAGAATGGTTTACACAATTCAACATGACGATAAATATAATTACATGGTAAATAATAAGAAAAAATGTTGGGACTCATTAAAAAATATTGATTTTTTTTTTTACATTATTATTTCATTAGATATGGAGGAATGAATAATAGTTAAAAATTGTTTTCTATTTTTCCTCTAACTCAAGATAAAGACAGATACGGATCATGTTCAAAGCCTCTTGTATCTTTTCTTCTCCTCTATCTTCAAACTGCTCTGATGTTATGGTAGATTATCCATGAATTCTTTTGATAGCTATTTCCACATTCAGAATATCCGTTTTTTTTTTTTAATGTGTTAATTTAATATAAAGTAAGAATTTACTTAATAAATGGTAACCTTTGTTGCATTGGGAAATATCTCTCCAATTTTAAAGATAAGCAATTAAACGTAGCTAACCTTGAATTTAAACTTAAACTTTAAAATTTGGTTTCGCGGTAAGGTATAAAACCACAGTCAACCAACATTGAGTTTTACCAAATTTGTCAAAAACTGAGACAATTTACTATAAATGGCCCTGTAACTTGGAAATGAGTTCCCTAAGAGGAAAAACCCATAGGATCAAAGTTGTAGAGCATCAAATTTCGCGTATACTGGGTACTGACATTTTTATTGTTGGCCAATTACATACCTCGAATCGGGATTTGTTATTCCTTTATAAAATCGGTATCTTTCGCCACATCGTTTACCAAAATCTTTTACTGTTGAGGGGTGGAAAAGAGGCTTATACTGCATGTAACAGACTTTAAACAAAACTAACTCAGTAGAATAGACACCCATACTGTTGAAATATTGAAAATCACGTTTACTTTCATTACCAATATCTAGCCATCGGGAGATTACCGATTTTGTTCGCAGCAAGTGACCTACATTACATTAGTTGATACTGAGTATATGCAAAATTTGAATCTCTACAACTTTGATTCTATAGGTTTTTCCTCTTGGGGAACTTTTCCCTAATGGAACTTTCCAAGTTACAGTGCCAATTATAGTAATTTGTCCCAGTTTTTGTCAAATTTGGTAAAACTCAGAGTTGGTTGACCGTGGTTTTATACCTTACCGCGAAACCAAATTTTAAAGTTTATCTACTCGTTTGACACAAAATTTAACGTTCTTTAATTTATTAAAGAACACATTTTTCGCTTTGATGCATTGTTTAGGAGTTATAGATGAAAAACCCAAAAAATATCGAATAAATCTGACTTTTTTGGCTGTAAAAAGTTTTCCCTTGGTGGCCTACGTTAGCAATTTTGTTTTATACATGTCTAAACCCATATATAAAAGTTAAAAAAATAGACACTTTTCTCACATTTTTCGCAATAGATTTCCTGTTTCGATCCTCAATTTATTGGCCTAATATTCTTTAAATCAGCCGCCATTTTTGAAAGCAGCGGCTCCGGAACGGCAGACAAGGTTTTTTTTTACTCAGAATAACATATACTTTCGTAATTTACAATCAAACCTTCACCTGCGATCAGGTCGATTTTTGGGCCCTGGCTCCAGGGCTACAAGACCTATTTGTTTGGTGCATTAGAGCCTTGGTTCATAGTTCTCTCACTTAATATAGATTTGATTCATCTGTTTCTGAGAATATAGAAGCCATACCTGTTTTTTTTATTTATTAAATATATTAAAAAAATTTTCTATATTATCCATGCTCATTGGATTCTATTCTTCTCCATCTACTTTTTCATTAGATTTTTAGTTCATCAAAGACAATCATAAAAAGCAATATTTTAATTAAAATCTAAACATGTGATAAGAATCCTTGGAAATCATAGCACCTAAGAGGCATTCAGCAAGAATTACAGTTTATCTCAAAGATCAAACATTTTAGTCTTTAAAACGTAGAGCTCAATATTTCCTTTGAAACTATACCTGGTCAAAATCTTTAAAACACAATTTATCCTTACTTAATTCATTGCCAATGAAACCATCTGAGTTTAGAAACCTCCCAATTTTTTCGATGACTTCTTAAAGTTCTTGAATGAATTTAAGAATCGTATTTTAAATTTGTCCCTTTCATTTGATACCTCATTGAACAAAATCCGTCTCTCCTGAAAACTGGAAATGGGATCTATATGACCGTATTATATATAGTGTTAATAATATATTGTTAACAAATTGAAGACTAGAAAAAATTAATATCTAACACATAAATTTGTAGGAGATAATGGAGAGTGAAAAGAAAAAATTATGATTAATAATTTCTGAAAACTAATATAATTGAACAGAAACTAAATGTTATTTAGTCCATAGTAACTAAATGAAATATTTATTTCTCAAAACTGTAAAATCACTATCATTTTTGAGATTAACTAATGATATATTCTTTAGGTTTGATAGTGATACATTTTTGTGATGAATTGATTATCCGTAACTTAATTTGTAGTTGATTTGAAATAATTTTATTTTTATATTTTTTACATTATCTCATTATGATTCTTTTAGTTTGTTTTAATTCATCTTTTATTTTTCTTTAGGTTTTGGGTTTTCCGTTCGTGGGGTAGAATTGGTACTAAAATTGGAGGAAAGAAGGTAGAAAATATGAGCACACTTCATGATGCTAAAAAACAGTTCAAGTGTGTATATCGTGATCAAACCAATAATGAATGGAAACATCGTGAAAACTTTGTTAAATATCCAGAATTTATGTATCCTATTGACATTGATTACGGTGAGGTAAAAAATACTTATTTATTGCTTTACTATATTTTTTTTATTTGAAATTGAACAAAAAACAACAATTTTTTTTTTCAAATCCTGGAAAAGATCCAAATTAGGGAGATATAAAAAAGAGTTTAAAAAATAAATTAATTTATATCTTCCTGCGACCAAAGGTAATAGTTATTTTACCATCCAGAACAGTTAATGTTGATCATGAAACAGATCACATTAGAGAGCGACATTTTAAAGAAAAGCAAGACCAGATTTTGAAGTACCTGCAGCTGGAAGTAATTTATAAAACAAATTTCAGGATATTGTCTGTGAATTTTTCTCTAAAATAAAAATTAATGAATTTTTTTTTCAGTGTTTAAAATAAAAACAGCTTTTTCTAAAACACTTTGTTTTGAAATATTTTAGTTTCTTGTATAGCTGAATTAACTGTCTAACAAAATAAAGCTGTTATTACTTGTATCCTTTAACTGTGATATACCTTTTTCTGGACTGATTTTTTTTCAGCAAATTTGAAGGCAATAGGGGCTTGAAGATATTGATGATTTCAAATACAGGGTGGCGACCGATCTAGAAAAATGGGAAAAGTCAGGGAATTTTCAAAACTGAAAAGTCAGGAAAAAATTGTTTTAGTACCTAAATATTTTTTTTCAAATTGAAAATAAATATACAGTGGATATCGTTTATAATGAATGATCTTGCAGGATTAACCTTCATTGTTATAAACGTCCACAGTCGCTATATTCGTCCACTTTTGACTGTCAATAATGCCACTGGTCTATAAAATAAAAAATCCTAATCAAGTTTTGAAAATGCTTCCTCTAAAACATTATGTTTGTTATTTAAAAGACTCATTTATTGATTTTTTTTTTTACTCATATTTTCTAGTCAATTTTTTCATCTATAATTAAATCTAGTTATAAATTATACATTTTTAACATTTGTGTCTGCAGACATATTAGTCAGGGAAATCTATCATCAAATAGGGAAATGTCAGACGAAATTCAGGAAATTTTACTTTGACTATCTGGTAGCTACCCTGAAATAATAGTTTAATACGATTTATCGTGTTTGTAATTTATAACAGTTGGAGTTATTACATTTGAATGGTGGAAATTAAAAAAATATAAAAAGTCAATATTTGGACATTAATCTAAACTTTAAAGCACATTCGCAAACAGAAGGTATGAATTGATTCAATTTCTTCTTTGGACTTTTTTTTTTAATTTTCCCAATTCGCATCTTAACCCTAGTATTATAGTTTAAAAAATGTATTTTCAATCCACTCTAATGTCAATACCTCAATACCTATTATTGAGGTTTGTATGATTGAATGAAGTATTTTATAATGCATAAGTACTTTTTGTGGTTTCAGAGTGATAATATCAAACTGTCTTCTGAATCTAATTATGAGTCAAAATTATCAAAACCTCTTCAAGAATTAATAAGGATGATTTTTGATGTTGATATAATGAGAAAAGTCATGATGGAATTTGAGGTAAATTAAATGAGGCCCCAGAAGCAAAGAGGGAGGGGTATAAGTGAAAATAACTAAGTTTTGAGTAAATGATGTTTAAGGTTAAATCTCTATGGTTTAACAGAGTTGAAGCAGAATTTTGCTATGTAGAAAAATGTTTTAAATTACTTTTAGAATGATGAGTTGTACTTTCACAACCAAATAATATATTCATAATAGTGAAAAATACCTGAAATGATATCCTGATTCACATGGATATTGGATTTCTTTAATATTAAGGCTCATTATTGTATTATTGAAGTAGCTTTTATGAAAATATTATCAATTTTTAGATATTGTTATCACATATCGATTTATTGAAACTTATTGGGTGTCTTCTTTATAAGGATCCATTATTATGTTACTGGGAGCATTTTTATGGAAAAACTAATGATTTAAAATTATTTGTTCAAGCACATTCTTTATATTGACATTATTTTTAAAATCAACACACCTGTTAACACAATGGTGAACCCCTGAGTATTGAAGAACTCTAGTATGTTAAAAAAAAAATTTAACGTATCTGCTTTCTCAAAATCAGTAATATTTTCATAAACTGGACGTAATTTTATAATCAAAAATAAAATTGTCATGGTTCTGTTATAGCTATAGAATTATTAATTATTTAGTACATTTATTTGTACTAAATAAATATTTTTTATGTAATGAATTAAGTAACACTAATCAGTTTATTTTTTTGTTAGTTGAATTTAATTAGCCTAACTGTGGCTTGTGTATCTTTACTTCAAAAGCTCAGTTAATATTTGTTTAGAGGTTAAGTGATTGTCCACTATAACACAGGGCTGGGTGGACAGAACAGAGATATCTCTTAACTAGGAAGTAGATTTCCGATTTCCAGATCAGCCATGGAATAAACTCAATTTTTTCAAAAAAAGCACTTATACCCCTTTGCCTGTTGGGTCCTCAAATATTCATACATTTATTTATTTATATATTGCATTTTAATTGAAACCTATATTCTTTATAAATTGTTTAGTTGGACATGGAAAAAATGCCTTTAGGAAAATTAAGTCGTAAGCAGATACAAAAGGCATATGCTGTACTTTCAGAATTGCAGGAAAAGGATGGTGATATAAAACCAATGAAGGTGACGGATGCTACCAATCGGTTTTACACATTAATTCCCCATAACTTTGGAACTGATAGCCCACCACTTCTTGACAATAAAGAGATAATACAGGTATCTATGCTATGTTGTATAAAGATTTGTTATTTATAAAACAAATATTAATATGGCTCATTTAAAGTATAAGAATTTATGAATGATTTAGTATGTGTTCTTTTCAATTATTTATTTTTATTTTTTTAGTCCAAATTAGAAATGCTGGAAAGTTTAATGGAAATGGAAGTAGCCTACAGCTTGTTGCGAGAAACCAAAGGTGAAGGAGAAGAAGGCATGCATCCATTGGATGCACATTATGCTAAACTAAATGCTGATATACAAGTTCTTGAAAGAGATACTGAGGAATTCAAAAATATTGAAGCTTATGTTAAAAACACCCACGGTGAAACTCACACTCAGTATTCACTTGAGATTGCTGATGTAAGTGATTATTTCAATTATATTTTTTACTTCATATTTTAAGATTAGATACCAGTGCATCTCTACTGCATCAGCCAGTGAAGGATGAGTATGAGTGCAGAACCCACTCAGTCTCAATCGAAGTGGAAGATGTGGCCACTGCTGTTTAAACCTTTAAGGTGGCTTGTAATAACGATTGACCTTATACTAATCCAATTTCGGAGTCCCTAGAAAATGTATTTTTAATTTAGAAACATGAACAGAAAAGTTAACATGCTATATAGTTGAGATGACTGATTGTTGGTAGTGTTCAATTTAATTCAATTTTTATTTTTTTTTAAGGGAAGAACCCTACACAAATGGAGTCTATACAAATGGATATCACAAAATAACAAACATTATCCCTATGGAAATACAAATGCATTCCTTTTTATACTACTTAACAGATATTAGAACACTTAAGCATAAATTAAAAATCATATTCGGTAAAAATCAGACGGTTAAAATAGTTCCAATTATCAAATTAATATAAAATCTAAAATTGTTAACAATATACATAAATAAATACACATAAAACAATAAATACACATTTTTTAAAAATATTAATATTAAACTGTTTTAAAATTAAATTAAAAGATTACCTCTATACCTAAGAGAACAAACAAGAAAAATACCCAGACAGATTACATGCCGATGTGCATTATGGAATATTTGCCATAATATGCAGAGGGCAATATTCCAGATTACCCTACTTATTCTTTATAATTTGATATGATTGAGATAAAAAAATATAATTTTCTCATATATTCTGCACTGATTGGCTTAAATATTTCTATCCCATCAAGATATCCCACACCCTGGTAAATTCTTAACCTTAAACTATGTAAATTGGACATTTAAATAATATATGATGAAATGTTTTGTTTTCTTTCGTGTTGCACAGTTTGCACTCAAGTTGTGAAGTACTTTTCACAATTTTATTATTAACAGAAATCTTGATCATATATTTTCCCGAGAGTCGGATCTGCATTAATAGTTTTGTATATTTGAAATTAGTCAGTATCAACAAATACTTGGGGATCTGATCATTATTAAGAAAAAGGTTTAAATGTTCATTATAAGATGAGCTATGCAATGTTATCCTATCATTGTCCTGCAAATCTTGTTTATATTTATTTAATATCCTGTTAATATTTGTTCTAATCATGGCTGAGTTGGTTTCATAAAATAGATTTCCTTCCCCAATAGTATCAAACAATACTTTCAGTTGAGAACACCAATTACATTTCGATAGAGCAGGATTAGCTAAGTAACATTTATTTCTTAGCTTTTCAAAACATATTTTAGGATATCTAAATTCCTCCATTTCCATTAGCTTAACCTACCAATTTAAAGAACACTTCATAATATTGAAAACAATATGAGTAGTTCCTAAACGTACTAAAAAGTCTGGGGTTGTTTTACATAGCGAATATGTCTATTTATAGAAATTTGTGTTGACCTTTTCTAAGAGCTCCATGTATCAGAGATTCCATACTTGGGCACAATATAGCAGAGATTTATTGATGAAAGCTTTTTTCAACTTATCTTTCGCCTTCCAGGAGTTCGTTTTTGCTTTAGAAAAAATGTTTATTGCACTACCTATTGTCGAGTTTGACTTTGAGATTGCCATCTTAACTGCTTGAAAAAACAAACCAGACCTACAATAGTGAACAAAATTAGGCAATTAAATGATTTTATGTACTGACTGTATCAATCAGTTCTCCATCCAAATATATACTATTATATTTCTTTGGGCACCCCTTAGCGAAATTGCAAGCCCTGCTTGCACTGGTACTATTCCTGTTTCAAGCCAGGAATACCAGTAGTAACTGTACTGATAATTTGAAAAATATCGGTTATTATTCACAATATTCTTAATTTCTAATAAAAGATACACTACTATACAAAATATAATGATCCAATAATTTAATTACACCACTGAAATTACATAAAATCACAGAGCCGATCTGTACTCTACCGTAGCTATCGATTGTTGACAGTACCTCACATTAGATTTTTCCGTATTCTATCAACTTTGATGGGGGAGGGGGCAATTAAGGATGTGGGGTCACCAATTTCAATGAAATATTTTTGGTGTCTTGGTCAAACCATATTAGACCCATGTCTGAGGGTTCTTGCCAATGCACCTAACCAGCTGAGAAAAAAAATGTTTTGTATAATTTCAAACAGAATTTACTTTTTTTGTCATATTTTATATGTTTGGTGCTATTTTATTATGTTATTTATTTTTGCCCGGATTTTTAGGTTATTATTAGAGACCGGATTTTCGTGCAGTGAAATATGAAAAATGAGCTACAAAAACCTCAAAATATGCAAAATCACTTAATACCTCAATCACAAAATACCTAAATTTGTGTAATTAACTCCTAAAAACATGCAAAATCATCAATATTGTTTAATTTATAACATTAATATACCAAAATCTTATCAGATCTTGAGTTCAACAGGAGATAAAAAATAAATTAAAATATAACATTGAAAATGAAATTTCAGATTATAATCAACAAACGAAAACAATAAATATAATACAATAATAAATTACGATTAATCTAAATCTTATAGAAAGAGAAAGAAATTTAAAACAATAATAATAATTACATAAAATAACAAGATAAAACAATATATTTGGATAAAACATCTATAAATTTTTCTCTCTGCAGAATAAGGTCTCTATAATTAACAGACAAATGATCGAATGTATTTGTTTGGATTGTCCTTAAATTGGTTAATTGGTCAATTGTTTTACATTCAAGGAATGAGATAATGTAAACATTGAAGGTTTGAAGGAAAGAATTATAGGTAGCTATATATTGTATAGACCAAACCAATTTTAGATATTTAACTTTTATAAAAATAATAATGAAAACTCTATTTTTTAATCGAGCTGAAATTTCGAATATTATGCATTCCAAAACTATTATGCATTTTTATTAAAATTTAAAGAATTTTTAAAGAAACTTTAGGAATACACTGTAATATTTCAGATGTTCAAGTGTTCAAATATTGGTGTTGAAGCTGTTTTTCTAAATTTAAATAAAAAATTTTTTATGTTCTTTCTAAAAAATCAAAAAAAACATTCAATTTTTTTAAAGAAATATTTGATTTCTTACATGTCCTTCAATGAGCATCTACCTGTGATTTCCTATCACCCGATTGATTTTTCATGGTCTACAGAACTTTCTCATCAAATTCTTTCTTATCAAATTTCAAATCAGTGTATTATTATATCCCAATTTTAATTTTTGAAGATTGTCAAAAAATTAAGTCTAGATTATCAAAAATTAAAGTCTAGATATATCTATATGTATGTCTCAAGATACCAGATTTTATTTTCAGCATTATTATTTTTTTTTATAATAATGGAATTACTACAGATCAGTTCAAAGCCAGAAGGGATACTGAAGGGCTGAACAGATGAATGAGTAAGAATTCAAGTTATAACAATAAAAATAACCCCCTCCCTCACCCTCGACCAGCTCTTTCTCAAAAAACTGAATGTCTTGCTAACAAGACAGCTTATTTTAGGAAAACAGCTTTTTATTATCCAGTACTATAGGCAAGTTCTATTCCAAGAATATTTCTCATTTCTGTTTGCTTCTTTCTTTTGTGATGTAAAAACAATTTTGGTTGTGACAGAATTATTTACCTTCCTCATATTTTTCTATCTTGAATAATGAATTCAGTTTGAACAAAATAGGTAAATAAATAAATAGTAATTATTAACACACACACATACATTTGTATTTATAAATCATCTAATTTATCACAAAAGTGCAATTCAATGCAACAAAATACAAAGTTGTGCAATATTAAATTTAAATATGTTATTCTACAGATCCTGCAATGGATAGATATTCAGATCCGGGTTTTTACACGCAATCAAATAAAATGTGCAATATCGTGGAAATCTGATCTTTAGTTTTTATACACCAATCGATTCTTCTTTTTGTGCAGAATAAGAAAAAAATGTTTATTATAGTATTAAATGAGTTATGAAATACCTTAAATAATGAAAACTACAAGGGGCTTGCAATAAAGTAGGCCATGTGAATTTTTGTTAAGAAATATAAATAAAAATATTTATAGATATAAAAAAGCTGAATTATTGCTCTTTCAAATCAAATCATTAAATTTCATTCCTTTTTAAGCAAGAAATTTAGATTTTTTTATATTTTATATCTTTGATTAAATATATTATTTAAACAAAATATCGAAGGGTCTTCTCTAAGCCAATGAAATTTTAGGACGACCAGTAACCCTGCAGATTTAATAAAACAAAATTAACATTATATAAAAAAATGTGTTATAGTATAATTCTCTTGTTATAATTCTGTTATAGGTATTTAAAGTTAAAAGAAGTGGTGAAGACAAAAAATTCAAACCATTCAAGAAGATGAAAAATAGAAAGTTATTATGGCATGGTTCAAGAATTACAAACTTCGCTGGAATATTATCACAGGTTTTTTAATTAGAATTTAGTCATACTATTCTTTAATTTTTAAAATATTTTATGGTTTTTCAAACATATATGAAATTCATTTTATGTTTAATTATTATTAATAATAATAAGAACTGTTATTAACTACTCAAACCAACTTTCTGATTATTTTTCACAAACAATTTTTTTCGGGGGAGAAATTTATGGTTTAAGACAGAATTTCATGCCAATGCATCTTTTCTTGTCACTCCTTCAAAATATAGCCAAATAATGCCGGAAATTTGAATCATTAAGAGGATGTTCTATGGGCAACACAGAATGAGATAGAGATCAATAAGAACTGATGAAGAAGTACCTGCTCTGTCGACTAAGAGACACCCTGTTTCATAAAGGACAAATGAAAGTGATCTGTAAAAGCAAACAAACTGTATGGAATGGTTTTGTGAAAAGCAGCATATCAAAAGGAACCAAGAGGTTGGTGCCTAACAAAAAAGACTAACAGGAACCTCTCAAGACATGCTTGCACTCATCTATACCTTAAAAGACTTGCAATGTTCTATTAGTGGTTGCTTCTGAATCGACTGTAAAAAAACTTGATATAGTCTAGAATCTTGCCAATTCAGCCCCATTTGCAACAATGGAGCTACAAATACATAGAACCACAGAATTATAGATGAGAATTAGCTGCCTTGACATTATTAATGTCTCATGGGAAACAACATCAAGTATTAGCAAACATACACCTGTTGCATGCTGACTGGCCCATGAAATCATGGAAAAATGACTAAGAGCTGATTTGCACTATGTACTGCTGTTTACGAAACAATGTTGAAATAAACTATCTCCACACAATACACTTCTCCCATTGCAGGTATACCTTGATAGACCAGGAATTGAAGCAAGACGAAACAGAGGAGTGTTTGTATTCTGAGCATAAGTCTCTTTGTGATTATTAATATGGTAATTTCTTGAGACTATTTTAGAGTTGTAACTCTCTGAAACTTCCAAGTTTATACCAATGCTCAGACATTTTAGAAGACATCAACTCCTGTAAGAATTTCTCACTAGAGGGTCAATTGTTATTCTACAATGAATCCCATTAGGAAATGACCATGCCTATGTCCTAGTCAAAGGTTCCTAGATGGTCATGTGTCGTTCATTGACTTAATTTTTTTCTGCTAAAAGCTAAAATACAACTCTCAATGATAAAATGAAGAAAATTTACCAACAGTGGGCAGAAGGGTAACAGTGGAGTACCTCTCTTGATCCAAATTATCTTCTTTTGTAAATATCCTCCTTGGCATGAATTGTTTGCCACTTTTCGATCGATCACTCGCCACGATTAAAAAAAATCTTAAATAACAATAAGTTGTTGCCCACTTTCATTTTGAATGTGTTCTCCACCATGCGGTCCCATCATTCCATGTGCTCTTAGGCGATCCTTGCCTATTCTACCATTGAAGTCTCTCATGATCACTATGCTTCTATTGCAGTTCCTAGCTTTGGTGATTGTTCGTTCAAGGTCGCTATAAAATAACTCTTTATATAGGATCATTTGTCGGGGCCTAAACTTGTATTAAAGCCCAATGCCCAATCCTCAGATTTATATCAGCTGCAATCATGTGTGGACTTACTGCTTCCCATTCCACAACTTTCCTGTATAATTCGTCTTTTAATACAAAACGTACTTCTTCTACAGCTTTATTTCCTGCTAGGACTTCAGAGTATATCACACTTTGTTAATTTTTATTTCTCCAACTCCTTGCCTTTTTACGTCACTTATATTGGTCTCCACCTCCATGCCTTTTCATTTCCTGTCCAATTCCGAGGCTTGTTGCTAATTTTCTCTCAATCGATGATTCTCTCCTATGGATGATTAACCCAGTAGGAGATGCCCCTTATCCTCGGGACAACTGGCCTCCTGAATATTTATGTTCCCTCAGGAGTAAGGGTGGTCAGGAGGTATAGGTAGGCCAGGCTCCACCAAGAGGTTTTTACTTTAAATGTAAATATTTGAATTGGGACTAGTCATTAGCTAACAATATTAGTTCTGTTCTTTCTTTTTTTTTTCTGGCTTACCTCAGAAAACTTTTTGGTTTTTTTAATTTTTATTTCTTGCTATTTACTTTTGATCTTACTTAAATCTAAAATTCATTTTCTAGGGACTGAGGATAGCACCACCAGAAGCACCAGTTTGTGGTTATATGTTTGGCAAAGGTATATATTTTGCAGATATGGTTTCTAAATCTGCCAATTATTGTATGTCTTCACCTTCGAATCCCAACGGTTTAATACTTTTATGTGAAGTAGCCCTTGGTGAAATGTAAGTTACTTTTGTTTAATTTTTTACTTTATTGTAAACATCTTTCTGTCTATATTTTAAAATGTTTTGTTTAGTTCCAAATTCGTACAATATAGAAACCATTAATATTCAAAATTGTTGGTTGATGGTTGAGTGTAGTAAATAATTAAAGAGAAGTATGGTTGGGGTGATCAGTCAAAATAAAAAATAGGAAAAATAAATAATAATATTTATTTTTACATTTGCCGATGTTTCGGCCTGAATTTCATACCTTCATCAGGGCTGAGAAAAGAACCAGATAACAGTAGGTATGAGAAACTATAAACATTGAATAATAATAATAAATAATAAAGAATTAAAATTAAAAAGGTGAAAAGTACAGGAAAACTAAAAAATGTAGGTAGGAAAGTAAAATGAAGTAGATAGAGTGAACATTAAAGTAAAATAAAGTAGGTAGAATAATAATAACAGAGAAATAAATAATAATAATGACAAAAAAGTGTGAACTAATGAAATAAACATAATCAAAATAAGGTAACATAAGAACTAAAAATGGTTATCTTAGAATAAAATGTAAAACAGAGAAAAGGAATTTAAAGTTATATAAGCAAATGATAGATATAAATAGAAAATTGAAATAATGTAAAGTCTATCAAAATATAGAAAAGAATAGAAAATAATTTTATTCTGTGACGAAGTCCCTTTAGAATAACAAAGCAGTACAAAATTAAAGTATTATATCTGGCCTAAGTAAAAACAAATATAAAAAGTAAAAATAAAGAAAAAAAAAAGTAAAGAAAATATTAGTTAAACATATTATGTACAAAATAAAAAAAATCTATATACAAAACACTTGAAACCATGCCAAGACAAATCTGGTATTAAGTATTTAAATGATGAATTATATGTAACTATATCATTATGTGAATCATTTTGAATAATATGTAAATTTACATACAAGGTTAGTGTCTGTCTGACTGTTTTTGGGATAGAAATTGGAATAGGAGGGTTTTAAATGTAGGTATACTGACTACGTATAAGAGAAAAAAAAGTTAAAATAATGCAAAAGAAAAAAAATAAATGAGAAAATCTATCAATATAACGATATGAGATGGAGATACTATAAGTTCTAGTTTTTACTCGATTTAATATATTTATGTTTGGTTGGACTACTTTTGTTGGAACCTTTTTTTTTTACAGTTATTAAACGGTTTTAATAATTAGAAGTTGCCACACATTTCGTTCTTAAAAATTTATATTATAAAAATGTCTTCTCAATTATCAGTCATGTGTAGGTAGCTGGAGCGATATTCAAAGATAATTGCTCTCTTATTTAAATTTACAGGTATGAAAGAACAAGAGCTGATTACATAGAAAAGCTTCCCTCCGGTAAACACAGTACTAAAGGTGTAGGTCTGACAATGCCTGATCCTGAACAGTCTGTCCAAAATAGTGAGGGTGTTGAAATTCCATTAGGTAAACCTGTTAAGCAGTTCACAGATAACTCCAAGACATCTCTACTTTATAATGAGTATCCTTTTATAAGTCAACTATTTCATTTCATAATTACATTATTTTTATCTATGATTACTTTGTTGTATAAGTATTATTGTTTATTAACTCTTTTATCAAATTTATGGATAGTTAAAGTTATTTTAAAATAGCTTTTCAGAGCTGTCTTTCATAATGTGGTAGCACATAGGGTTTACTGAATTTTTAAAAGTATAACTAAAATTTGATTTACTGATAAGCTAGTTCATTGAGCTCAAGACTACCCTGGCTGTACTAAGAGACTTGCCTATCTTTCACAATTTTCTAATTTCCTACTTTCCCATAACTTGAAGCACTTAGGATAATAGTTGATTGATTTCATTAAAAAATAATTTATTTTCTTATTACTATTTGCCTATAAGTCAAAATCAATAATAAGATATAAATCAATCAACACTTTCAGTTTGTTGATTATTCTTTATTAATTTGTACATTTGTGGAATATTTTCCCCTCTGTTCAGCTTAAAATATGCCCCAGAATTTGATAAGTTATAGTTATCAAAAAGTATCAATGGTTAAAATTCCTTAGATGGATTAATGCCAGAGTTATAAGTCCTCCGGCACAAGGAACCAAACTCATAATCTTTAGTTTATTGGTTTGATCTATCATTCCTTCCTCTTGAACATTGCCATATCCCTTAACCACTTACAGTTTCTTTTTCCATAAAACCACTTTTGGACACAATTGTATACTTTGATTTGTTTGGATTGATATTCTTCTTTTTTTGACTCATTTTTTTTCCCAATGCTTCTAGCTCTTCTGAGAAGGCTCCTCTGCTTCTTGCAATTATGGAAATGTTTTCAGCAAATACTAAATTTATCTTTATTTTCCTTAATTGTATTACAGATATATTGTTTATGATGTGGCCCAGGTGAAAATGCAGTATCTCATCAAAATGAAGTTTAACTATGTCACTATGTATTAATTTGTGGTTATAATTTTTGACTGCTAAAAGTGATACTTAGTATTAGTGAAAAAACGTGATCCTGGCATTGTAAGAATGTTTCTAATGGGTGTATTTGAAGGAAGATCTGATCTGTCCTCAAGTGTATTTTTATAAAAATGATTGTTTTAGAAAAATGAAAGTGTAAGCCTTTTTACTATTATATATTATTTCTGATGTCACTAGGTGATTAACAGTTACCTAAAAAGATAATATTGTTCTGTGTTGTGTAATATACTACAAGATTATTTAAATGATTAAGAATATATAATCCTCCATCAGCTGTATTCCTTGCCAAGTGTAAAACAGTAATGTTTCTAAGTTTTGTTATTAGTCAAATCAACTAAGTGTAACTGATGGAGGGTTAAGGTTTTATCATTTATTATTATTATTATTGATGTGCACATAAACTCTTACTAACTGAGTATGGTTTTGTGAGACTAAAGTCTGTTTGAATTTATGTTTTGTGTTCCTCAATCCTCACTGAAGTTGCCTTTGATGTTTGTTTTGTGGATGGATATATTGTAAATCTCAAACATTTTTGTTTTCATCACTGAAAAAATAATTATAAAGAAGAAAAATAAAAAAACTAGTATGTTAACATGCAAATATAATACTTAGATAAGTACAGGTTTTATAGTATCCTTTTGTTTTTTTATGGCACTGATGAAAACTAGTGAATATAATGCATACTATATTCTCAGTCTCAATGTGAAATCTAGTAACTAACCTTTGTATTTACCTTTATCCTAATCTTTCAGAAAGAAAAAAAAGGTTAACAAATAAATTTTCATCTTTTTTTTATTTGATCATATGCCTATCTTTTTTTGGCATTGGAATTTTCCACACAGCCAGTATAAAATTAATTGTGTTCCTATTCTTAACTATTTTCATTTTAAATATATCTATTTATTGAATACAAATAACATTGATAATTTCTTCAGGGTTGCTCGATGTCAATAATTTTTTATATAGATTGCCATCATTGTATGGATTCAGAAATTTCTCTTTTTGATTTTTGTAGGCAGGGAATTCCATAATGGTATGTTGGAGTGTTTCTTTTTTGTTAAATTTGTATGAATTTTTATCTCCCATGCACTGCAGGTATTATTTGCATAGCCAATGATTTGTTTTAAGTCAAGAACATTTTTTAATTATATCTTTTAGTAGGTTTAATCCAAAGAATCATGGCTTGTTTACAATTGGCGGTACATTGTACTTATAAAATCTACCTGAGGGAGACTCGTGATAGTGAAGGGACCATTTACCATATTTTCTTTAATAATTGAAAAGTAATCTTTCTTTTTTTTTTTTTTTTTTTTTTTTTTTTGCTGGGAGATAAGGCGGTGGCATATTATTCAGTTAAAAAATTGGATGTATCGCTGGTATAGGGTTGCCCTAAGGTACAACGGGGGAAAAGAAGGAAAAAAAAAAAAAAAGAGAGGCAGAGAGAGAGATAATTCACTAAGGTTTGATATAACTGTATGAAAATGAATTTTCAATTTATATTATTTATTTTGAAAATTTACATAAATAATTGTTAATGACATTTTTATGATGGTATTTACAACTATACAAGGCTGCTTTTTAAGGTTCTAATGGAAGTCAATCGAGATCCATATATAGTCAATTTTTACATCGCCAATTCTTATTTTACTGTTGATTAATTTGTATACCAGCAATTTAAAAAATATAAACATTTTTATTATCTTTTCAAATTTAACAGTATTCGAATAATATGAAGCAGAATATTGAGTTCAGAAATTTAGTTTGTATTTATAACATTTGTTATGTTTGAATAATTTCATTTCAGAAATAGATGTAACAGCATCAAGAAGGATTTCATAAAATATTTTAGCACTCATCAAAGTCCTACGAACCAAAAATATTCCATGGCAACTGAACTACAAAAATAATTTGAACATAAGTTAGCCATTTAAGAGATTTGAATTCCATAGATTTATAATAATAATAATTTTCCATATTCACATAGCTATTTTAAAGTAATCTAAATTTCAAGAATTGGGGGCACAACATATATATAACATTTGTTCCATGTACTTAACAAAATAAATGAATAGAATCACAACAAACCTATCAGCTTAAAAATATTTACAACACAATCTCTTAAAAGAGTACTTAGCAGTAATCTAATTGTAAGAACAAATCATCGGTTTCAATGTGAAACTGCATAATTGTCAAATCTCTATTTTTCTGAAATGGTAGAAATAGTTTTAAAATTAAACTTTTATAATATTGGGATGTTTTTCTATTGTTAGTATTATTTATTTTCTTATTTTTTAACAGGTAAGTATTAGCAGGCAATGTAATATTTATTAGAAAATATTAACTATTATTAACTGTCCATAAAATATAGGAAAAAAAAAAAAAGATGAAATATAAACGTCTTGGACTTATGAGGTTCCTCGTTGAGACCGATGATGTTTATATTAATTAATTATCCTGTTTAAGATCCAGTAATTACTACAGAACTTCTGAACTGATGACTACAGAACTTTTAGGCAATATTCAGTGGTTAAAATAATATTTGACTGAACATTATCCAAGAGTACAAGTATTAAAACTAATTACAATTATATCATCACAGCAAGCTCAATTAAGGAAGATAATATGATGATTGATATTTACTTGGTAAAATCGAGTGATTAGCAGGTCATGGTACAATATCGTTTGTTACAACTTTTATATACTAAATAAATAAATTTCATAAATACACCTGTTTAGTATCACAGATTAATTAGCCATTAAAAGACAACACAAAAGATTTCTGAAAAAATTCTTTACCACTAAAATCTTCAACATTTCTTTATGATATATACAAACTTTATGATGATCTGAAAAGGAAGTATTGTTTATAACCAAATTTAACAGTTAATTAAATAACTTAAGGGTAAATGAATCATATTACACTTAATTATTTCATGCAGCAAATACTTTTAATGAGTAGATCAGTTGTTCATTATAATAAATAGTAAAGGGTATAACACTTGGATGTATGTATCCAAGCATCTTCTATTTAAATAACTACATCTGATAAAATTATATTTTATCAAGCAATAATGAATAAATTGGCAAATAGTTTATAATAAACAAAATCCCAGTTGGAAGAGGTTATCACAATAATAAAAACGAGTCTTCAACAGAATACTCAATTTCAGAGCTTAATTTAATTGAAATTTAGATAATGGTAACAAAATGGAAGACAGAAGAATATAATAATACCTTAAGGTAAACTTTTTTTTTCAACAGAACTAACAGATTTCCTTGAAATGTATAACATCCAGAACTACTATATTTTCAGCCATATGGACAACATTGTATATAATTTTAAAAACCAAAGCCTTCACAAATGTAAATATTAAAAAAATAATATAAGTGAACTTCCAATTAAATTTAATAAAGTATCAAATCTATATAATGCAAACAAATTATTAAAGCTTGTTAAATTTCACCTGCAAATGTGAGAATTTCCTAGAATATTTTTTCCTTTTTTATAACAAAAATATTATTCTGATTTTTCTATGAAATATTTTTTTGGCATTGCTGACCAACTATTCATTAACAATTTGTTTGTTTTAATAATAATAAAACATAAGTATGAACAAATTATTTTAGTGATAAGGTAATTTTATAATTGACCACTTTGATGATAATGAAAGAAATAAAAAAATAATGATGAATATTAATGTTTCCTTACTCGAAAACCAAAAATATATTTAATTTAATTTATATTACATTAATACAGAACTTCATGGGATAAAAGTAATGGCAATTTTCAAGTGATTTCATGTTTTCGTTTCCTAAATCCTTTTCCTCGAACTCTAAATTGATTAGACTGTGCTTCAGATGCTGGCTTTACATTATGATGAATAGCATTGTATAGGAGTTCTCCATTCATTGAATTTCCAAGTATTTCAATCAATTCTTCCTGTTAAAGAAGTTTCTCAATTATAAATCATAAACTTATTTATTTGTAATAAATGGGGAAGGGTGGCTACTATTATACAATATACATAAAATGCATATATCATTAAAGTACAATTACAAAACATTCACTTTCAGAACAAAAAGCAAACTTCACTTACAGTACTCATTATTGATAACAGAATGAGAAAACTCTAATAATAGTAATTGAGATAGCAGATTCATGTGAATCCAACTTTGAAACATTGTCATTAGTCCTTTCATTTTTCATCTAACAGCCATATAAATAACTTGTGTCTTTCCTGCAATGTTAATACTAGTATGTTTATGTGAATCTATATAGGAAATAGGGTAGTTTATATACATAGGGAATGGAGCAGACTCAACCTAGATTCGATTATCAATATCGTTATCAGTTCATAAATAGTCAGTTTTTTGTGTACAGTATGAAGGTTACATTGTTTGGTTAATCAGTGTTTCATAGTGTATATGAATTTTATTAGATGTATACTGTGACATTATTTAGTGTAAAGTATAAGATCTCCAGTAAAGACTAATTTAAATTTGTAAATTATTAACAATAATTAATAAATTATAAAATTTATTGTTGTAATCTGTCAAAACCAGTTTAAAAAAATTAACGGTATGTGTTCAAACTATTATGATTTTAGTGAAATAATTGTTTTGGAAATCATTCCTTTATTGTTCTCTATCAATTTTGGATGTTACTAAATCAATATACAGGGTGTTTCGTAATTGCACAGCACTATTCTATTTTAGGAATGTGTTCGCTAACACAAAATAAACAAAAAAGTTCATATTAACATATATCTCAAACTCATTTATTAAATAGATATCAAAGGTAAAGATTTATTATTTATAAATACTATTTATTTATTATTATTACAACAGTTAGAGTAACTGTTCAAAGGGGCCTCTGTTTTGTTGAATGCAACATTCAGCACGACGAATCCATGCTTCTCTAGCTCTTCGTATAGCATTCAGGATGGTGTTTGATGTTACTGTGGCCTAGAAGATCCGGTTTCTTAGCTCTTCTTGCTAGCTATAAACCATAGACTTCATCCAGCCCCACACAAAATAATCTAATGGCTTTAAATCTGGAGATCGTGGTGGCCATTTAACAGGTCCGTTTGACCAACACATCGGCCTCCATAAGTTTCATTTAAATAATCAGTGCCACTATTAGATAAGTGAGCTGGAGCTGCATGATGCATAAACAACAGCCTTTGCCTAATGCCTAGCAAAATATCTTCTAGGCGTCCATGAAGATTATTTTGCAAAAATTGCAAGTAAGATATACCTGACAGCCTAGGTGACAAAAAGAAGGGGGCCGATGATGTCACTAGATGACCACACAGACATTTAAAGAAAAGGTATGTTGGTAATGTCCAACAGCAGTCGTATGAGGGTTTTTTTGGGTCCAAGTATGGCAATCTTGTGGTAACAAATCTTGCCTACTCGATATGTGAAATGGATACAATTGTTGTTCGCCATATGCTGGTAGAGAAACAACATGACAATCTTCAAGTACTAGTAGTACGAGATAACTGAACAGCATCGAGAATTTCTTGTTTAACATTTGCAGTTCTTCAAAATCTTTGTTGACTGGCGTTTACTCATATAGGTTTCAGCGTGACATTATCCTTAAAGAGTCTTTCAATGGCCTCAAACGTTTTACGATTTGATATTCTTCTGTTAGAAAATTTTTCACGATATCTTTGAACAGCAGCAGCATCGTTTCTAGGTACTCGCCATAAGTTAAAAGCATGTCTGTTTGTTCTGCAAGAGTGAATAAATTTATGGTGTCTCTCATGATAATCATAAACTGAACTGTGTCATTGCTTATCCTTCATTTGTTTATCAGGTGATTAAAACCTGTTATTTAGAATTAAACACATTAAACTTTGTACAGTCAGTCTTAATGTAGTAAATAAATAATAAATCTTTAACTTTTGATATCTGTTTAATAAATGAGTTAGAGATATATGTTAATATGAACTTTTTTGTTTATTTTGTGTTAGTGAACACATACCTAAAATAGTGCCGTGCAATTACGAAACACTCTACTGTATATTCACTATAGATGCCTTATTCTGTTAATTAATCAAACCAATGTATTCAAATTAACAAAACTGAGAACTTTTAAGGTAAAAAAATAAAATAGCATTTTTTAAGGACGTAGTAAATAATTTTGCAAAAATGTTATAAAATTAATTTTAATAATTAAAAATTTTCAGAATATACTCACTTTTTTTAGAGTTATAAGATGATCAAGAGACTTTCCTTTATTTAATAAAGAATTCAAGTTCTTTGTATTTACACCTGGGAGTTTGCTGACTAAGTCCTGTAGCAAGAAAAGAGATTTATTATAAAATTAGTAAGTAAAAATATATGAATAAATAAAATTGTATTTGTTGTAACCTAATTTTAATTATTGAAATTTACTATCTTTACAAATTAAAAAAAAATCTGGTATTTGACGATAATTGGGATGTAGAGAAGTATTTATTTCAAGAAGCAACTCAATCATTCTTTTGAGGCTGGGAGAACCAAGTTAATCTTAACAAATATAAAAATTAATTTATTTTTAGACAGAATTAATACCTGAATTCCAACATTGAATTTCTCTAATCTTTCATCCTCAAGAGATGTTTCTTCATGACCAATAGCTGCTGCTACAGAAGCGATTGGTTCCTCTCGACCATCCTGAAAATGAAATTATACCAGCTTAGATCTTACATGCAATACACAAGAATACAATGCATGCATAAATCACAATCAATTAATTCCCTATTTTTATTAGTATAGCTGAGTCAAATAATAGTTCAACCTCAGAATTAAAAATTAAAATTTAAAGAATTCTTAAGAAACTTAAGGAAATCTCTGTAATATTTGAGATTTCCAAGCGTTCAAATATTAGTTTTGAAGCTGTTTTTTTAAATCACTAAAATAATATTTTTGGGGATTGGGCTCTTTTTAAAAAAAAAAATTAAATTTTTTAATTAGAATATTCTTTTGTTACATGTTCTACAATGAGCATTTGTGTCTTCCTTTCACACACAATTGATTTTTCACCAAGGGTACAGAAGACAACTTGTCAAATTTTCGATCGTGGTATTTTGATATCAAGATTTTAATTTTTGAGGAGAGACTAGATCTTATTTTCAGAATTATCAGTCTTTTTTTTTTTAATAATGAAATTACAACGAATCAGTATAATGCCAGAAGGGTTGCATTACTGAACGAATGAGTGAGAATTCAAGTCAAACAATAACAAAAAATGTCTTTAGAACAAAACAGCTTGATTGTTATTCAATACTTTAGGCAAGTTCTATTCCAAGAATATTTCCCATTTGTGTTTACCTCTTCCTTTTGTAATATTAAATTTGATCTTGTCACAGAATTATTTGCCTTTCTCATATTTTTACTTTCAATTACCCACATGTGAAATACATAGTAAATCAAAGTATTGCAACTGTGAAAATTTACGAATCTCAGTTTTTAACGGAAATACATGTTTTGAGGTTCCTTGAGTCCAAATAATCAAGTCCTGCAATATGGTCGGTGAGTTAACAGTCTAGCTCAAAAACGAAAAGTCATACGAAAGTGCAATTGCATATTAAAAGTTTTTATGTGCTTGGGAGATTACAGCAAATTTTCGGCAAACCAGAAGTGGCACTTTATATCATGGATTTAACTCATTTTTACAATTTTCTTGAAAATGGTTATTAAGATTTTGATTAAATTATATCAGTATAAACTTAAGCAGTTTTAAATAAAATGTAGATTTTATTCTGATTGATGTTCTCTAACAGGACTTAAATGGATAATTTTCAATATTAGCTTTCCCTCAAAGTACCTTTAATTTTTTTATTTGATACAATTAAACATTTCACATTGATCTCTAATAATAATGATAGTTAAATATAAAATATGAAAGAATTTGATAATTAACTAAAGGAGAAATAAGGGATCATAACAGAGAATAGTTGTAGTTGAGGAATCAAAGGAACACGAGTGCACTCGAAACATTAGAAGAGGCTTCCATACGTAACACGAGCTTAGTATAATACAGACTCCTACAATTTTAAGTAAATATGCATATGTGGTTTTCATATATGCTATTGTTGGTATTATTTAACATTTAATTGTATATATTACAGCGATGTAATATTAAAATTTGTATATGTAAAGTACTTATAAAATAAAAATACCCATAATAAAATATAAATAAATATAATAATAATACTTTATTTATTCTGGGACGAGTCCCTATAGAAAAATACAGAAAGACTGAAATGTGGGCTAAGGAGCCTCAGAGAAACAAAAATAAAAATCTAGTGCATGCAACGCACAACTTTCACTTACCGCTCAACTTTAGAAATTAGAAATTATTTTCTGGCCATGAACAAAATTTTTGAATTGCATTTTTAACTGAGCTACAGCTAAAAAATCATAAATATCATTAAAATAATAAAAGTCCTATTTATTATATCACTGGTTGATTATGGATTGTACTAATATTAGTTATTAAACTGTTATTTTCTATTGCAAAGTTTACTAAAACAGAATTAAGAGATTTGAATTGTCTGTCATAGACAGGTCAAAAGTTGTCACAGTGATTAGAAGTAAATACTGTTGGAATATCACAAAAGGAAATTTTATCAAACTATTCACTAATTTAATTTTCTAAAAGGTTACATGATGATTTTTCGGAATAAACGGACAATAGATACCTAAATATTTAAATATAATATCAGATCTAGAGTTATTAAACTATAGTAAATATATTTAAGGTTATAAACATATGCTTTATACATCCATGAAATGATTTTATATTTTACTTCTTATTTCACACAAGTACAATGAAATAGTTTTCACACAATGTCATTGCCTTGATTAGGTGTATTTTAAATACTTTTTCAAATTTAACAATATTTTAAAAATGTAGTTAGAAAATTTCATTTAATTTCCTTGAAAACATGTGATTTACGTTTTTTGCCACTCTCCATTAACTTCTACAACTTTCTATATTAGATATTGTTTTGTTTTTTAAATTCTCCGCTTTCGAATGATATATTATACGTATACCTTCTGACTAATATTTCCGGAGATTAATTTTCGACCTCTGGATAAGCATTTTTATTTTTTTCTCCTTTATTCAATTATCAAATTCTTTCAAATGTTATATTTAACATTTTTTCGTAACTATTAATAATGAGAGATAGTTAATTATTTAAAACAAACCACATTAAAGGCACTTTAGAGGAAGAAGCATATGAACATTAGGCATTTAAGCCCTGTAAAGTGACATCAACGGGGATGAGACATAAATGATATTAAAGACCACTTAATTATCCAGTGTTACACCAAGTTTAAATTTATAAAAATATGAAGTAAAAATGATTGAGAATGATTTAATAATTTATATACATATTTACAATTTTATGGAGACTCGATGGATGATTGAACAGGCGGGATTGAGTTCCATAGGGATGAGGATTGGATAATGAACAATCTATCGAAAGCAGCGGTTCAGTGGGCTCTTGTGTATAAATCTGAAGAACAGGAGTGAACAGAGGATTTGAATTGAAGGACAGCAGGATTGGATAACTTGAAAGAGAAAGAATTCTAGGAAATACTTACGATGGTAGGAAAGATAAAGCCAAGTCAACTCGGCATAAAAACAGGAAACAGAGGTGTCCCTTGACAGCAACCAGATGACCTAAATATGCGATTAAAATAAAAGTACGAGTTCGCGTTTCGGTGCCAGAGGGGATTTTAAATTCTTCGCCCTCACCCTCCGGTCCTGGAAAATCCCATATAGTCTAATAGGCGGGGTAAGGAAGAACAGAAAAAAAAAAAGTGAGCTATTCTGAGATAAAATAATGTAATGGCATACAAAAATATTGTATTAAACAATTTTTATTGAGATTTTGAAGTACTTTATTAATTTTGTATAGAATGATATTTGCGTCAAACCTCATAGTTGTTGAGATATTCACAAAAAAACTGAAAAACAAAACCAGTTGTCGTCCTTGTTCCCTTCCCCACATAAAAACTTGACCCGGGAATCTTCGGATATTTTTACCATCTATTATGAGAAGGGTCCTGAACAACGTTTGACGAAATTTAACTTTCTTTTTTTTAATGTTCCGGCTATTTAGTAGAGTTACTGTAATAAATATGTAGATATATATATATATATTTTTTTTTTAAATACCCCAATATTTTTCTAGGCCACTATGACCATTTGATTATACTCATCTTTATTAACCATTGATGTGAAAATCAGCCGGATGTTCATAAATTTTCAAAGTCATTCTGAACACATGTTGAGGTTGTAGGTCATACCAAACGCCCCAATATTTTTGCAGGCCACTATGACCATATGATTGTACTCATCTCTTTATTAACCATTAATGTGAAAATCAGCCGGATGTTCATAAATTTTTACCCAAATTCTGAGAATTTTCATAGATAAAATATTTGTAGGTTATGACAAAATGAAGCTACTCACGAAGTTTTAAACAGATGTTAATAATTTCATGAAAAGGGGCCTGTACCTATTATTTTCTAGTGATTTTTTGCTTTTTGTCTTAATTTAATGCAAAAAGGATAACAAAAATGGTAAAAATTGATAATTAAACAGCTTGACAGGCACTTGAAGCTGCCTTGACACTTCGTGACTCCATCTAGCGTTTCATACGATATAAACAAATGAAATAATTAATACTATTAATGGCCCTAGAGGTAATATATATCATGCTCAATCCTAACACTTTGACTACTGCGCTAACTCTGCAGGATTCCAATCTAAAAACCTAATTTAATTTAATCACATTACAGTATTAATAACAGTAATTATAATACAAGTAATCATCTAAAAGAACAAAAAATCCTATGCAAGATTACTAGCTATGAGTTATCTTGTAATTGGATAGAAAATATGTTAATAGACCTACTTGAGTTAAAATTAATATCTATCAAAGTAGAGGTATGTGCATATCAAAGTTATGTGATTTGTGCATCACACCAGAATTTTTAATAATATAAATGAAAGAACCCTCGCGCGGGCTCATTACCGCGTATGGGGAGCGTCCCACGGGCGGCGGATGTGGGGATGGTCGGTGGAAATTCCTTGGAAGTTCCTCCCAGGCTAAGTCCGATGGACTCGCTGACCAACAATGAGAGGGGCCCTCCAGACTTGCTGGAGGGAGGGGACCTCCAGACTTGCTGGAGGTAGGGGCCCACCAGACTTGCTGGAGGGTGTGACGTAGGATTGAATGCCCTACTCACATATCTTTAGTTCACCAAACACCACAAATAGTCAGGGATCTTCCTAAGGTAAAACGCTCATTATCTGGAGGTAAACTAGTTCCCCATTCGGGTCTCCGGGTGGGGACTGCTTTAGGGGATTCATGGCGCAAGTTGAAATATAGGGATTTAAATATTGGTACGTGGAACATAAGGAGTTTAAACACAGCAGGGGGGGCTAAAATCGATCACGAATGAGGTAAATGGGTACAATTTGGATGTCGTGGCTCTGCAAGAGGTTCGCTGGCCAGGGGAGGGCTCGATGAGGGAAGGAAAGTACACTATTTGGTACGGAGGAAGCGGGAATCATTGTTTAGGTACCGGGCTTCTAATTAGGAGTAGGTTACTATCCGCTTTGAGGGACGTACAATTCTTTAGTGATAGAATTTCGGTAGCTATATTTCAGGGGCGTTGGTTTAAAATCGCATTAATAAACATACATTGTCCGACCGAAGACAGTGACGATGAAGTCAAAAGTGAATTTTACGATAAACTCGAATGGGTTTATGATAAACTACCGCGAAACTACATGAAAATAATTTTAGGTGACGCGAACGCAAAAGTAGGAAGGGAAGAAGTGTATATTCCGACGATTGGTAAAAAAAGTTTGCACGAATATAGTAATGATAATGGGATCCGTCTGATAAACTTTGCCACCTCGAAAAACCTGATAATTAAAAGTACGACGTTTAAACATAAGGATATTCATAAATATACTTGGACATCACCGGATTCGAAAACACGAAATCAAGTCAATCATTTCTTGATGCAACATAGCTGGCAAAGCAGTATAATTAATGTACGGTCTTATCGCGGAGCAGAATGTGGGTCGGATCATGAATTAGTAATCGCGAAACTTCGACAAAAACTTAATATAAAAAAGAGAAAAGAAAACCGTTTCGATTTTGAGAATTTTAATTTGGAAAAATTAAAAAATCCATCAATTAGAACCCAATTTGAGCTAGATGTTAAGAATAGGTTTGAAGCTTTAGAGCTTCCTGACGAGGACCACGAGGATATTGACAAGTTATGGGTACAGATCAGGGATAATATTAAAGCGGTCGGTAACTCGTGTCTAGGAAAAAAGGAAAATAAGAATAACAAACCGTGGTTTGATGAAGATTGCTTAAACATGTGTGAAAAAAGAAAAGCCGCTAAATTAAAAGCTCTAAATAATCCTAGCGAAGACAATCTGGAATACTTCCGAATCTCAAAGAACGAAACGACAAAATTGCTGAAAAATAAAAAAAGGGAGTATCTTAAAAATAAAATAATTGAAATAGAAACTAATAGAATCGAAAATAACGTAAGAGACATGTATAAAGGTATAAACAGATCACGTAAATATGTAGGGCCCGTAACGTCTGGAATTAGGGATGATAATAACAATATTCTGACCGATCTGGTTGACATATTGAATAAGTTTAAGGACCACTTTGACAATATTTTAAATACGGGAAATTATGATCTGTGTCCTCCTTCTGAGTACCAGAGTGCTGAACCGTTAATAGAAGGACCAAGTAAAGAGGAAGTTGAAATAGCTATCGGAAAATTAAAATCATATAAAGCAGCGGGAATCGATAATATTCCTACTGAACTAATTAAGGCATGCGGGGAAGCTGCAGTTTCTAAAATACATCGGTTGGTTAAAAAGATCTGGGTGAACGAGAAATTACCTGAACAATGGAAAGAATCTATTCTTATACCGATTCACAAAAAGGGTCCAAGGACGGATTGTAATAACTATCGAGAAATTTCACTCCTTCCGGTATGTTATAAAATATTCACTTTAATCTTAACCAGTCGAATCACGGAATACGGCGAGGAAATTATCGGAGATTACCAATACGGATTTAGACGGAATCGTTCGACTATTAATCAAATATTTTCTTTACGGCAAATATTAGAGAAAAAATTGGAGTATAACGGTATTGTTCACCAGCTGTATATAGATTTTAAAAAGGCTTACGATTCAATTGACCGCCAAAAACTGCATAACATTCTAATCGAGCAGGGGATTCCAAAAAAACTAGTAAATCTAGTCAGGATGTGCTTGAGGGAGACACTCAATAAAGTTAGAATCGGTAATAATTTGTCCAAAAAATTTTAGGTTCGTTCGGGTTTAAAACAGGGGGATTCTCTTTCGCCTGTCCTGTTCAATTTGGCATTAGAACATGCCATTAGGGAGGTAATGCGAACAGAGAGAGGGTTGGATCTGGGCGGGACAACATCCGTGCTGGGCTATGCTGATGATCTGGTACTGTTAAGCGAAGACGTTGAAACTATAAAACTAAATACATCGTTAATGAAAGCCGGTAAAGAACTAGGACTCGAAATAAACGTGGATAAAACAAAATATATGGTTAGCTGCAAAAATGGCGATACTACTGGTGATATCGATATAGATGGTAATATGTTTTGAACAGGTAGAGAAATTTAGGTATCTAGGTTCTACGATAACTAGAAAAAACGAAATTGAAGAAGAGATTAAGGTTAGACTGAAGGCGGGAAATGCTTGTTATTTTTCTGTGACAAAACTACTTAGTTCGCGCCTCTTGTCCCGGAACTTAAAAATTAGAATCTATAAAACAATTATCTTGCCTACAGTTCTTTATGGATGCGAAACTTGGCCGCTTACACTAAGGGATGAACAGTGTCTTAAGGTTTTTGAAAATAAAGTATTGCGTAGAATATTCAGACCGAAGAAGGACGAGTTAACCGGAGAGTTCAGACGGTTACACAACGCCGAATTGCGTGAGCTGTATCCGGGTAATATAATTGAGGTAATTTCATCGCGGCGAATCAAATGGGCGTGTAAAATTGTTGGGCTTAGTTACGAGAGAATTCCTAAAAGGTTAATATTTGCTGTGCCGAATGGTAAGTGTCCGAGGGGTAGACCGAAGCGAAGGTGGAAAGATTGCATTAAAGCCGATCTGAAGGGACTGAGTTTGGACGGCGAACGGTGGAGGGAGGTGTGTAATAAGCGATTGGTGGTGTCGGCATCGAACCTTCGGGTTCGCTAAGCCTTTTATTATTATTATTATTATAAATGAAAGAACACCTTTAGCTCATGAAATAATTGAGCAGAAGCAAATGGACTCTGACTCCATACAATCCGTAGCCTTGGAAAATGTAGAGTTAATAACTGAAGTTTACTAGTGATGTCGTTAGATGAAATGTCACTGCTTAGATAATAACGACCCTAAAAAAAGAAAACAAAATTAAACAATACAATACAAGAAAATAAAACCAACTAAAACTTATCATACTTCATAGTTATTACCTGTAACATGAAAGGTTTATTTTCATCAAATTCTATGAGTAAAACTGGTTTCGTATAATATCTTGTCATCGCTTGAGCCTGAGTATACAATCTGCCTGAATTCAAGGATCCAATGAGATCACTGATACTCTTCCTTTCAACACAAATATCTGGCGACAGAATATAATCCCCTATCTATGATAACATAAAAGTAACAATGGTCAAATATTAATTTTTGTGGTTATTATATCAAAGGTACAAACAAATAAATGATAGCTGTGTAACTATTTACCCCCAATAATTTTTTAGGCAGAGCAAAACTTAAAATAGAAACTCAAATTCAAATTTTGAAAATTTATCGAATAGACAGGATGGGATTAAGCTTTAGAACAACAAAGTGGTACTAGTCTACCCATTGCATTAGAAATCTAAATTTCTTTTCCCTTATATCGTTGGCAGCATGTTATGTTAAAGAAACGAATTGAAGCCTGTTTAACATTTTATATTCGTTATTTTAACAAGGTGACAACGATACATGTGTTTATTTTTATTTAAAAGTTTATTTGGGTATTATGCAAAGGACATCAGTACTATTCTCCTTTATTTATTTTTTCAGTAGATTTTTAATTTACCGTAAACTATAAGAAATAGCAATATTTTAATTTTCAGAAACATAAATGGTATTTGATAAATGTCACATGGCAATTGAGGCCTGGATATAAGGCTATGCCTGTTAATTATCCTGAAAACAGAATCTCTTAAGGCTTTAAAAGACAGGGCACAATTTACTCCAAATAAACGTTACCAGGTATTGATGTCTAAGTCAAAATTTGAAAACAATTTATCCCATCTTGATTCATCAACTTACCACAGCCAGAGTTTTGAAACCTCTTTTTTCAAATAAAGTTGTTTGATTGTCAACATAACAACTCACTTCCTGTTAACTTTTAAAAATAAATTGATGTATAAATGTGTGTATATGAAAAACTTAAAATTCGTAATTTAGCTGCTCGATTAAAAATAAGAAAAAGTATATGACAGTTTAAAGAAAAAAAAAAAGATTTGTATGAACAGTGAGTCCTACACAGATATATTAATAAATTTTCTAAAACTTTGTATTTTATCTTCCAGCATTCATGCTGCACCTACAGGGTGAAAATACGTTTTCATATAGTTATGCAACAAAAAAATATATTGAAATATTATTTTTCCTCTCTCTCTTAGTGAAACCTCTAAATGAGTAATGTCAAACTTCTTAGGTTTTATTTAAAAATTGACCCAGTGGTTTCAAAGAAAAGATGCTGACAGCAAAAAGTTTTTAAAATTTGATTTTTGAATTTTATAAATCTTAAAATTTAATTTTGGTGGTTAATATTTTTATTTTCTTGGTTGATTAAATGGTCCAGAATTTAAAATAATAAACATAGTGTATTATTTTTTATTTCTCATTTTCGTTCTTACTTTATAACACATGAAATTTTATTTTAAATTTTAGGTTAATTTTTAATGTTATAATCTGATTTGGATAATTATTTAAATAAACAAAATCTGAGGTACTTTGAAGGAAGAAATTTTGAATACTTGCGATTTAAGCCCTGTCAAGCTGCATTGATGCGAATAAAACCTATCTTAAATTAAAAACTATTTAATTATACATTAATCTAATGAGTTAAATTAAAATTATTAGAGCAGTTTTAGAGAAAATTGCAAAGTTATATAAAATCAATGTTATAAAGAGGTACTTCTGGTTAGCCGATTTTGATAAAAGAAATGCTATAACCTCACCATATACAAACCTTAACTACAATATTTCAGTTTCATACGGTTTTATATTTTTTAGCTAGACTATACGCACACAAATGCATACAATACCATTTTGTGATACTTGATTATTTGGACTTAGGGAATCTCACAACATGTATTTCTGTTGATGATGATTCGAAAATTTTCCTTTACTAATTTCATGTATAAATAAGTGAAAGTAAAATAAATTCCACTTATTCAATTTGTACATACCAGGGATATTTTTGTTCTTAATATAACTCATAACGTTTAATTATAAGAAACCATAAATTAAATATTTAAAATTTGGAAATACATTAATTTTAATTTAAGTCAAAATCGCTAGTATTGATAATTGAAACAATATAATTATAGCGAATATGTAATTAAAATATACCTGTAGAGTAACAGGTTCAATGTCTATTCCTCTTTTATGGATGACAGAAGGAAGCTCACTCCTGAATTCTCTCATATCAACTATGATTCTGCTATTTGTTTGCACTTCCTCAACACCTCCTTGGCGAGTACTGACTTTAATAAGTGGTCTATCTCGAAGATCTTTACCTGATCTTAGATCTTCAAATACCAATATCTAAAAATAGAACTTACATATTAGTAACATAAAGTAAAGAAAATGATTAGAAAACAAAATATAGTTATCTATTTTTAGATGCCATTCTCCATAGCACTAGCGAATCCACCCGGGGTGCGGGGTGCGCCCTCCCTCCCTGGAAGTTGGAAAAAAAAATCTAAAGAACAGCAATTAAAAGAAAAGAGAAATATAGAGCGCTCACGTCACCTCACCAGGCTGTGAATCAATTTGCACTAGGCCTATGGCACATGGCGAGATTTTGTGAAAGATTAGAATGTAAAAGCAAAAGTTCGCCCGTACGGTGAAGTGATGTAGTTTTTGGGCCGCTCTGAGCTGCAAAGGCTTGCACTCCAGTCGTAGGTTGCCTCTACCGACTTTGAGCTGAGTCTCGCAGGTGAAATACATGATGGAGGAAAATTAATTCAAAGAAAGAAAAATTAACTTTATTTATTCTTTTTGAGAACCTTTTATTCGAGCACAAGAAAATGTGTTTTTTCTCCCAGACCTAGTTTTTATTCAGTTCCAATAGATCTTGACGCATTGCAACCTTTAGCAACTATAGTCTCCTTGAAGAATGCATACAATTCATACAACTGGTTACGATAATAATTAGTATATTTCTCATGTATTTTTCTTTTCTTAAAATAGCTGCTGTGGAAACTTTTTCATGAAGGAATGTATTAATTATTTGGTCTCCAACATGATCGGAATCGGAATTAATTCTGAGTTTTTTTCTTAGAGAACTCATTTCCAAGCTACAAGGCCATTTATAGTAATCCGTCTCAGATTTTGACAAAGTTGGTAAATATTAGCGTTCGTTGACAGTAGTTATTGACCACATCACTTAATCAAATTATTAAGTTTAGGTACTTATTTGATGCACAATTTAACATTCTTTAATTTCCTAAAGAATACATTTTTCATTTTGATGCACCGTTTAGTAGTAATAGATGAAAAAAAAAAAAGGGATAAAATCTGGTGGTGTTTTTGGCTGTAAAAAGTTTCCCCTAGTTGGACCTAAATTTTGTCTAAATCCATATACAGGTTGTCTCCTAAGTAGAGGGACATAAAGCAGTGATAGCATAACTCAAGAGCTACAAAAAAGTTTATAAACAATGGTTCGATTTTCAGCAGGAAAGTAGAAAATTAAAGTTTTGTGATTTTTGTTGAATAGGAAGTGATAAAAAAAATAATATTTAATTTGAGTAATTAACGATTACTTCACTGTAAACCAGACAAAATTTACTTTAAATAAAAATAGAGTTTGCTATTGTTAAAATCACTTAAAGAGGACTTTTGAACGGATTAACTCAGCTAAGGAGTGGTGGGAGATGGATAGTAGTGGTGGAAGCACTTCGTACAGAGGTGCCCCTGAGAAAATTCCTGGATCCGCCACTGCTCCAGAGCATAAATGAGTTCCACAACCACAAACCAATAAAAGGTACAGAGGGCAAGTAGCATGGTTGAAGGTACCTGATTCTTGACTATATGGTATTTTTGGGAGACAGCACCATGTAAAATCTGCCAGATTACCTTAACTCATGTCAACCCAAGTCAGTCAAACCATGATTCCGATTCTAAAAAGCTCACTAATTTTATTTTATAAAAATAAGAATATTTAAAAGATAATTACAGATTTTTCTTTGATGAGTTTTTCAAAAGCTTGCTTTTCACACCTGAGAGATGTTAAATATGCTTGTTCCTCAACTGAACCTCCATAGATCATAAAATAAACCTTAATTGCTTTATCAGCAAATGCACTCTGGTAAATCTGTAAAAAAGAAATTAACTAAAACAAGAAATACCAAATTAAAACTTATAAACTATTCAAACAAAAATTGTGATATTTAAACTTTTTAGTATGTACTTTTGGTGAATTTAGGCATTTATTGATTGAAAAAATCAAGTAAGTGCATCAAAATGACACAAACGTTTTTCTTCTTCTTCATCGATTCCTCTTCTACTGTACAGGATCCTGTTAATAGAGGCTGATCTATTAGGCAGATCACCATCACCCCCTGACTGCATAGTTTGATTTTGTGGAGAGAAAATTCATCAAATTGTCACAAATTCAATTAGTGATTTTTTGCACAATAAACTCAGGATCTATATTATGTTTTCAGATGATTTTCATAAATAAAAAAAAATTATTATCTATTGTTAATGTTAATTATTATTTTTAAAACAATTCTTACTAGAGGCCTAGTGGTTTAGAACAGAGACCTCTAAACTTTTTGGCCTGCAGGCCACAGTGAGACATCTGGCATAAAAAACAATAATTATAAATAATTAAATTATGAGATTACAGAATTAAAATAAAATATAAGCATAATTAAATAAAGGAAAGTATGGATAAATAAATGCACTCTGTTAACACATTTGCACTAAAAAAAAAAATCTGTACCAGTGGTGATCATTACAAAGCTCTTTTAAGTTCAATTTAAAAATAATTTTGACATTTTAAGATGTTGCTAAGTATATTGCAGAAAATTAGATTGAAAAAAGAATAAATTAAAACCTCTATCTGTCGAATAGCTGAAATATCCACATCGTACATAATTATAGTGGAAGGATTAAGCCGCTGAAGAATCTTTGGCAAGGACAAGCCATCACCATCCTTTTTGAATTGTTGAATAACAATGACTGGATCTTTTGATTTATCTGGTTGCTAAAAAAAAAAAAAATAAATAAATAAAATAATAAATGTATATTTATCAGCTGAGCAAATTTTATTCAGGAAATAAAATAACAAATAATGAATAAAATATATTATATAATTATATTTTACTCACCAAAAGTAAATAACCTATTTATTTATAATTCTGAATTTCAGTGAATAAATTTATTCATTATTTTTTCAATTAGTATTCAAATAAAATCTGTGGCCCAAACAAAGAAGGCAATTTTTGGCAGAGGAAGAGTTTAAGAAGCTATTTAATGCCCCAGATATTATATCCACCATAAAGAGGAGAAAGATAAGATGGATGGGCCAAGAATGGAACATAGCAGGCTCCCTAAAATGATGATGGAGGGACATCCTGGGTGGAAGAAGAAAAAGAGCAGATCTAGACTTCGTTGGCTGGAAGATGTTGAAAACGATCTTAGGAGCCTGAGTGTAGTCAGATAGGAAGAGACAGCTGAAGACGGAAGATTGTAGAGGAGGCCTTGGTTCTGCATGAACCATAGCGCCATCAGATGATGATGATTCAAATAAAAATAATTATTTGAATAATAAATTTTTATTAAATTTAAAAAAAAACAACTATTTGAATAAAAATTAATTTATCATACAAATACCAAGTGTATAAAAATCTATATAGCATTGAAAAAGAATTTAGAGAAATCAAGAAAAATCTAGAATGGTCAGTACACAGTCAGGGAGATGTTAAGCATAGAGAAATAGCATATCCTTGACCTGGGTGAGACCAACTTCTACATCAAATGGATAGTCCCTCCATATATCACTACTATAGCTATGATCTGCATTGAATATAAAGGATTTAAAAGGTAAAGAGGCAAACATTTTGTGATTAATAACCGGATCATACAGCAACATTTTTATTTACAGCTGTTTTGCTTTTGAAATCAGATTGCAATATTTTGTATTAGGAGATAGAAGATATAATAAGTCAATTTCAAAGACATATTAAAAAAAAAAATATATATATATATATATATCAATTTGTATTAAATATGATTTTAATAACAAAATTACAACCATTAGGGGGTGTAGTATTTACTATTTAATAATTAATGCATCCATCTCTAAAAGTGCCATTTCGCTGGTACTGTCTACAGCAGCAACAGACATTCCATACTGGCAATCAGTATTGTCTATTTCGCTGAAACAGCTTACCGTCGCAGCCAAATCTTCTTCATTTAGTATCCCAGTTAGAAACAATTTTAAATACAAATGTTAGCCTTAAATTTAATGGTTTTTATATGTACCAGAAGGACAGCAATAAATATGATGGAGGGCTTTCAATCTTATTTAATTAATACACGCTATTCATTCAGGTAGTTTAAGTTTAATAACAAGTTTAGGTTATGCCTGTACTCTAAAATGTTAACGATTATCTACATATTAATGCCCAACTTCTATAAAATGATGTTTCTAATAATATTTTGAATAGAAAATATAAGACTCATGTTAGAAAAAAATATTATATGACAAAATATTATTTTAAGAATTGAGGATTTATCTCTGATTTTAAATTTATTACTTATTATCAGTATGATTATTTCAGTAATAAATATAATTTATTGGTAATGAAATCATCACAGCACACAATTTTTTACCGTTTAATCAATAGGCAATCAGTAAATCAGCATTATAATTAAAAAAGACAAATTGATTTTTTAATGTAATTTGAGTATTTACCAGAGGTTACATTTTTTTAAATTAGTAATTCATTTAATGTCATTTAGATTTAGGCATATTTTAATTTCTCTGTAAAATACTTTTGGTGTAATAAATAATCTTGTTACTTCAATCTTTACAAAATGATTTACTATAATTTTGTTTAAATTTTAAACAATGTTTCATTTAATTTTGCCTGTTTTCATTATATCATTATATTTTGATATGATAATATAACCTATAACCACAGCACTGCTAACAGCATCACTGCAGGAGTGGTCAGAAAGGAGCATTATAGTTATGATGTCATACCTAGACTACCGAGCAGTGCCATTGAAATATGGTCTTATCTATTCCACTAAAACAGTGGTTAACTAGCATTCAACACGGTAGGCAGTACCAGCGAAATAATACCTTAAGGGTGATTGAATCTCATTTAGTTATATTTTATAGTAACAGATATATTATTGAATTCATGAACAATATCTACATGTGTTTTTTTAAATTCACTAACTTCAGAACATTCACTGAATGTTGTATTGCCATTGGATTCATCCTTCTTTTGAGTTAATGTGATTGATTCCATTTCAGTCTCCTCTTCTTCTTTTCCTTTCATTTCTCCAAGAGATTCAGATCCGAACAATTTGTAGTACCAATAATTAAGCATTTCCTTAGCACCCATAACTAACACCTGAAAAAAAATTGATTTTTTTATGGATGAAACAAAATTGTCACAGAAATTTCAGTCACAATAATATTTATTGGGTTAGTCGACGTTTCGAACCAACAGTGTGGATGATGATCCACAATAAATAAATATTCATATTAATAAAAATGTAAATGTTCGTTTGTTCAAAATCGCTAATCTCCGAAACTTCTTCCCTGATTGCTTTGAAATATTGATATAATATTTCTATCACATTCAGGAGTGTTTTTATATACATTTAATCACCCTCTGGTCTTTCACTTCAGAATGGCGGCCCAAAAACCTATGTCGCTATAGACTGTAACGATTTTAATTAAACTTGGCTAAAGTCTTCTCCTAGAAGCCCTTTTAATTTATGTATATAACATCCTTCCCCAAAAAGAGTATGAAAAGAAACTTATGATGAGTTCAAAAATATATTCGCGAATAACTCAAAACGTACACAATTTTTGTTTGATTATACCCTTCATTATTTGAAAGCCTTCTTGATTCCCTGCTGATAAAAAAAAAAAATCACTGAAATCGGACGATTTGGTGCAGAGATATAATGCTTTAAACATTTAGTAATGTTTCGTCGGAGATTTGCAGCAGTGGGATGTTATGTAGGACTGCAAAAAAACACACAACTCTACTAAACAGTTTATAAGTAAAAGAAAACTACTTTACATTGTATTCATATGAAAAAATAATCATTAGGTAAATCATAATAAAAAACAGTTATTTATAAAATAACAGACCTCCTTAAGTTGATTTACGGTGTATTTAGATTCAACAAGAATCAAAATTGTGGGTGGAGCATCAGCACTATCAGTCTCACCTTGGATTTCTTCAAGAATCTCAGTCAATGTTTCCCATTTAGGATTTGGCTCAGGACTTAGATCTAGGAACATGTAAAGAATAATTTAATTTGTTTATTTAAATAATTATTTTATTAATAATATTTAAAATAAATTAATATTTTTTACAAGAAGTTGACAGGAGGAAGATGGGAACTGTCAAGAAAGAAAGAAACACACAAGAGTATCATACTTCTTTAAATGTGAGCTGACATTCCAGCATAAGTTGTATGAAAATATTAAATGATAACAAAAGAAACAAGGAATAAATGGAAATACATTGGAGAATACAAATAGAACAGTATACAGATATATGTATAGAATATCAGCAAAGTAATTTAGTGTAGGTTCCGCTTTACAAGAGGACAATTTGTTCTCCTTTTATCATCACTGCTATTTAATACAAGCTATCTGAAGTATATTTTTATCCCTTAGGAGTTTGTAAGTAATGGGAATTCCTAAAATAAAATAAAAAACGCGGATATGTATGTATCCATTCATACACTTCACTATGACGATAAGTTTATTTGAAAACTGAATACAATATTCCAACAAAAAAAATTTAATATTGCATTAAATTTATAAACTTATGTGTTAAATGCCTACCACATTTTACAGCCATTATATTCTTAAAAATTACTTCAATATGAACTGTTAATGGATTTTGATAAATTGATACTAGCAGATTAGTACACTATATCTCAACCTTTTTTCAACATAGGCCAAATTGAATGAATTTTTTTTTTAAATATAAGTGTATAAAGGAAAATACCTCTGCCCATCCGAAAACATTGCACATCGTGTATACAATCTGGATTTCACACTGTAGGGAGATGAAATTTGTAAAAATGAATATCGGATCATTTTTTCATTAAACTCTAACTTTCCTCCAACTTTGAGCCAAATTGAACACGCCGTTAATGAAATATAGGTGTGTCCACCAAGATAGATACATGTATAAACTATTGTAGTAGATTGAATCCGTTAGTGAGGATGTAAGATTGTAGCAAATGTGATGAGAATATTATTATGATACATTAATTATTAAAACATGAACATTGAAAATATAATAGAATACACAGAAAGTAGAAACAAAAAATATTTATTAAAAAAGTTAAATTAGCCAAATATAAAGTAAAACAGTCAATAATATAAATGGGATCATAATTGTAAGTTCACATCATTTATAAAAGAAAAGATAAAGGTAAGAAAAATAAGAAGATAAGTTTCGGAAAAGTGGCGATGAAGACAGTAAGTTCTTCAGAAATGAAATATAAAATATATTGGAATAATTTAAAAATTATGCCAAATCACTTCTGGTGATGGTATATTAAGTCAATAAACTTGTTTATTCAAATAAATAAAAAAAAAAAGGGACAAAATTATTAATAAAAGGAGTAAAAAAAAAGTTGGGCATGGTGGTAGATAAAAAATGAGCTTTTGATGTTTTTAAGAGGAATCTTTTGCCATAGTTGAGAATAGTGATCAATATAAAAATTTTGTGAAGATCAAATGAATGGTTTAAAGCAGGGGGTAAGCATTTCCTATCCAGCCCATGAAAGTTTCTTAGCTACGTGGTAGCATTTGAAAAACTACTAAAAAAATATGAAATTTAGCAAATTACTCACGCAAGAGCTTACTACATCTAATGCATGTATTTTTTTATATTTTTATTAGAAACCTCTTTTCACAACTGAAGTGCCATTTATAGAAAAAGATTTTTTTTTTACTACAGGGCATGGTCCGGAACTTAGATGGAGGTCTCAATGTGGCCTGTGGGACTTCGTGGAGGTCTTAATGATGCCCGTGGGCCAAAAGGTTGGAGACCACTGGTTAAATCATTAAATATTAAGAGCCAACCAACTTATCCTTGATTCGTAACTCGTCCCCCTAGATGTGATGCCAGTGTAAAGAGGATTCAATTTATGTCATGGTTCGCAGGTAGAGCAATACCAATAAATAATATATTTAGGTAACCAATTAAAGAGGCCCTTTTAGTGAGAGAGGCCCTTACAAGTTTTTTTAAATTTAAATAACTGACTTAAAAATTAGATACAATTAAAAGAATGCAAAACAAATCAAACCATAAAAAAAAAAAAAAAAAAAAAAAAAATTCAAGATGGTATATTTCAGACAGTTTGAGCAAGATCTCATTACCTAGCTTATGCCCTGTCAAAAAGAGTTTCCCTTAAATATCTTGGTTATAGTGTAACAATCCTAAATAATTTAAACTATTCTATACTTACTTTGTTTTGAATCAAAAAGACGATTTTTGGCAGAAATAAACAGAGTTTCTGCAGCATCCAATATCATCCAACCCGAACTTTTCAAGGCATATTCACGAGTTCGAAGAGATGTGAGTAGTGAATGAAATCTTACTGCATCAGATTGAGTAAGATTTCTGAAAATAAAATTAAATACTAAAAATTATAATGGTATAAATTTAAATATAACATTTAATCTTTGAAATCTGCACACAATATTGCCAACAATTAGAAATTTTATTTACTTTTTGTTTTAAATAGGAAATTACACATAAAAGTTCAAGAAAAAATGAAATATACATCCAAATGGAAATCTCACAAGTGAAAATAACTTAATATATATTATAATTTATTATTTTCAAAGGCAGATAAGATTATTACTTTCTTCATCGGGGAAACCCCCAATTCCTCTCAGATTCTCTCATTCCAAATGCAGTTACGTCTCGTTCTCCCTGCGATCTTTCGGAGAAACTGGAGGTGAGGAAGGTGAAGTACATATTTTTATCATTATCCCAAGATTTTTGCATTATATTCCTGGGGGTGAATATATGGTCCTTTGTCTGATATCCTGTTCTGAAACCAGCCTGCTCCTCTACTATGAATGGTTCCACTAGAGGTCTCAATCTATTGTGCAGGATCGATATTTACAACTTGTATACCACTGAGAACAGACATATGGGTCTGTAGTTGAAGCATTCGGCCTGGCTGCCTTTTTTATGTATGGGAATTATGACATATTCCCATTCTGTAGGGATCCTTTTCTTATCCCAGGCTTTTTGAAAAAGTATTTGAAGAGACCTAACTAATTCCATTCTACCATACTTAACAAACTCTCCAACTAAATTATCCTGTCCTGGAACTTTTCCTGTTTTTATCTTTTCAATAGCTAGCTGGACCTCATCCTCCCCTATGACCTCGTAAAAGTTATCTTCCAAGCTAGTGTCCGCATCCAATTTCTGAAGTTTTCTCTTCAGTTCATCTTCATACCTCTGTCTTATCTGAGGGTCCTCAAGCTTTTTTACCTCTATCCTGTCGTATGCTTTTGTCTTGTGTTCCTTAAGTACCTTGGTATCATCCACCAGCAGCAGATGATCACTACATATCTCCGCACCTCTAATAACCTTTACATCTGAGAAAAAGCTCCTGAAGTCTCGGCCATATATAAAATACTCAATGATGCTATCTGCATTTCGTCCCATGGCAGAGAAGGTAATTTTGTGCACTGACTTATGAGGAAAATACTAATTCCCAATAAGCATGTTGTTGTCCACACAGAACTTGATCAGTAGCTGACCTCTATCATTCTTCAATCTCTCGCCTCCATGCAGACCCATCACACCATGTGCTCTCACGTAGTCATTACCTGTTTGTGCATTGAGGTCTCCCATAATGAGGATATTCCTATTACTATTTTTATTTTTGGTCACCAAACGGTCTAGGTCTGCATAGAACTGTTCCTTATCTAGTATGCTCACATCGTTTGTTGGAGCATACACTTGTATTAGAGTCCAGTTTCCTATGTGCAAATTAATATTAACTGCTAGAATGCGTGATTTCACTGGCCCCCATTCCTCCACTCTGAAAAGCTCATCCTTCAAGGAGAGGAGAAAGGAATCTCGGGCAGCGAGGCTTTCCTTGGTGGACGGTCACCCAAGTGCTAGCCACGCTCAGTGTTGCTTAACTTTGATTACCTGTTGCAAGTGCCTTAGCCCGCAAGAGTAACCCAATCCCCTATATATATATATATATATATATATATATATATATATATATATTAATAATCGATTCATAAATGAAATAAAATTACTTCACTGATGTATCTAATATCAGATGGCCTGTATTTGTTGTAATGAGAGTGATTATTTATTTAAAATGCTAGCTTTATTATGAAGTGTGCTAAACTACTCACATGAAAACATATTTTGTAAGTATTTGAATTATTTGAACAAGAAATCATGTTCGTTAACAAATAAAGGAAAATGATTAACATCAGTTCTTAAACTGGTATCCTCGAGCACCTCTTCCGCAACGCAGAAAAACATTAAAAGAAAACATTATCAGTTTCAAGATGATCACCAGTGATAAGGATATTATCTGCACAGAGTGTACACATGGTTCATGGTTAAGCACTCCAAACTACTTCTATAAAATTCATAATTTATCATCATATTATTACCAGGAACTTCTCAGTGCAAGTAAAAATAATGTATTGGGATTTGGGATGGGGCTTAGATCTTTTTTCAACGTTATCCAATAAACTCTAAAATTGACATTTTCAACTCAAATAATCAATTAATCATTAGACTTCTAAACTTGATAAGGGAACAGGGTAGCTCAGTGAGTAAGGTGCTGGATTCTTATGCTCAAGGTCTCATGTTTGAGTCTGGCTGAGGCAGATAATTATTTATTCTACTACATCAGCATTGGATCAACTTCGGGATTACGAGACCTTCCTTGGGCTCACCCAGCCCCTATAGAGAGGTTATTATTAATTAAATAATTAATTAAGGGAGAAAATCTTTAAAAAAGGGCAATTGAGCATGATATCGACCAAATCACCATACTGCATTATCGTTGGGCTTAAAACACTACTTGCTTGAAAAGTAATGAACCCAAGACCCTCGTAGTTTTTTAACCTTACCCAAGATGTGGTAAAGTTTTTTTCTCCTATAATCTGATATATTAGAGATAACATCTTGACTTCAAAGGAAAGGGGACTCTGTGTCCGACATCAGCAGGCATTTCATTGCTATCAGTTATGTAAAGTTTTATGTCGATTTTTCCATGTTTCACTTAATCAATTTTAAAGCACCATAGGCCATCATTCTGGACAAGAAGTAAAAATTAACTCAAAAATATAATGAAGGTAAGGTTTTCTACATTTATATAGGCACTGGCACTATTAATTTGACATGAGTTACTTGCAGTTGTACAACAGAAAAGTAACCAGACGTTATTTATTATTTGTTATACTATCCATCCACTTATCCAACACTTAGTAAACAACCAAAGCTTAGAAACAGTAAACCATTAGAAGAAAAAAAAAAAAGATACATACTAAGCTACGAAAAAAAGGTAAAAAGAAATAGCATAAAGTTAATTTTTATGATTAAATAAGTAATAACATACACTACAATAGAACGAAGTGTCTTTAGGTCAGCAATAAGTTGCTTTGTTTTGGCACTGAGACGATTCCAAATAGGATCCAATTGCAACTGAAGGAGCTTGTGAAAACTTTTCGATAAAGCATTTTCAACAGTAATTTCTTCTGTTTCCAGCTGTAATTACCACAATATAGTATTAGCATACAATTAATTTAACAATATTTTTTACTATTAGTACAGAATTCAAAACAATATATTATATTACCACAAATTCAATATTAATGAGAATTTTTTTCTCACTAATTATACGTATTCGGGTAGCATTTGAATATCACTTAAACAGCCTTCCATGAATTTCAATCAATATTAAATTTAGAGCTTTTTTTTTCCATTTTCCGACATCAATTAATTTCCATCTCATCTGCCTCACTAGTGTTCTTATTAGCGTTTTTATAACTTAATATTTACTTTTTGGCATGTTTTAGTGAATACAAATTTCATCCAGTGTGTATTTATAGCAATGTTTAATTCAAATACTTACTCGAATTTCCTTTAATATAATAATACTGAACATGAAATACTCATGAAATTTAATAACTTTTACATAATTTTTAAACAACCTACTGATATTCATTGATATTTCGTGAATCAAGTGTATTAGATATGTTCAAATATAAAAATAAAGTGATAATCAATCAAGTAAATCATCATATCATGGAGGAATGGTGACAGCAGGAAAAAAATAAATAAAAGTTACAAGACCTAGTTAAATGACCAATAAAAGTTAAAAGGCCTGACTTGGATAATTATTATTATTATTATTGGTAATTTTGAAAAAGTAACAACAAAACTGCCACTTTTATTGTTATTATTTTAATCGAAAAGTGAATCCCCGTGCCCGGTGGGACTTATAAATCGACATTATTCCCCCAACCCGGGAAAGACCCCATGTAGCCTTTAAGGCGAGGAAGAGAATAAAAAAAATAAAATAATAATAATTGAAAAGTGAATTATACTAAATAATTAATTTTTATTTATACTTTTTACTCGAAACCAATAAATAACTGAAAAAATCTGAATATTTAACATTAACAATTATATACAGAGTGAAGTAGAGGGAAATATTTAAAAAGTTGACAGTAGACATTAAGATCTACAAAAAAATACTTATAAACAATTTAACAATTTCCAACAGAAAAGTAGGAAATTTAAGATTTATGTTTTTTTTTTTAAGCGGCTCACGTTTTTTGTTGAATAGGATGCGATAACTTAAAAAATATTTGATTTAAGTAATTAAGCATTGCTCCGCATTAAGCATTGTTAAAACTGTTTAAAGACAAATTTTGAGTGGCTAAACAAAATAAGGAAACCTAATGATTACTTTAATTATTTTTATGAAAATCTAAATATTAGGGCTAGAAACATTTAATTTGTTACTTATAAATATATATCAATTCCTATGATAGATATCTGCGAGAAAAACACAATTTCATAACCACTTTACATGAAAAATATTTAAAAAATCATTATTTTTAACTTTTCTATAGTTATAAGTAAAATGTGTTTTTAGGCAATTATGCTTATTACAATACATCCCATAACACAGAAAAACAATAAATACAAGCTTTGCTACAGTTAATTGTAGTCATTTTTGCAGAAAGCACGGGTACTTTAAGGTGACTGGATAAGAAATCACATCATTTCTTTACACAACTTGAGGTGAATCTCAAAATTTTTCCTTATAAATCTCAACTTAATTAATATGGACTTAAAGCTTATTATGCGAAAAAGTTTTTGTAAAAGTGAGTTAATCGTAGTACCGTTGAAGGATGATCAATTGTTTAATAAACTTTTTTGTATATCTTGATATCTATTATCAATCTTTTAAATATTTCTCTCTAGTTACGGAACACTCTGTATATATATGTGTATGTGTGGATATAGGACCTAAGGTGTATGAAATTCATATGTTTTGTAAGTGCGCTCCCCTCCGAAAATTCCTTGATCCGTCACTGGAACAAAGACTATTGAAGTCTCTGATGATTTTAAATAATAATTGTAAATGAATAGAAGGTAATAATAAGCAAAAATATTCTATTTAACATATTAATAACTAGGAAAAGAAATAATTAAACAATATCTTACCGTAGGATTTATTCTTTTTATTTCTTTGATGCAGAATAACACTAAATCAAGAGCTGCAGTTTGTATAGTTTCCATTAATGAACTCAATTTGACATGTAATTCTATAACACAAGGCTGTAAAGAATAATTAAATTTTTTACTTTCATCCTCAAAATATTATATACTCTGATCTGACAATAAAATAAAAACTAAACAGTTATAGAAAGCAGCTCATCATAAAAGTTTTTTAAAATATTTTGGAGAAGAAAAAAAAATATATTTTTAGATGCAAACTGCTTTAGACATTGAGGATAATGAATACAATGACATTATTCAGAAAATAACAGAAACAAACTTTTTACATCAGGATGACTTTTATAAATAATCAACTTCATTTGTGAAGAGACCACATGAGAACAAGCCAAAATTGATCTTGACTTGAATGCAACATCACTTATGATCTGAGCAAAGTGAAAGATACAGAAAAAGACGATAATGAAGAGGGCATCAAGAAATACTGGATGACCGCAATTTTGTTCACACCATAATTTAATTTAATTTAATTTTCCTGTCTTGCACTTCTTAGTCACTCGATTTCCATCACCTTTAAAATATCCCATTTTCTCTCATTTTTTTTTTTTGCAATCATCTCTTCGCTTCTGACAGTAATAGTAATCCTCTGGAGCTCTAAGTGTAAGCCTCTGCAATATAGCTCTGTATGTTTAATTTTTTTTTCATTATCGGCAACCGCATGTTGTTAATCATATCAAAATCATGTTTCTTTCTTTTGTTTTTTATGCGGCTTGATGCATTAACACACTTTTGTTGCTTCTCATCATCAATGGAACTTTCTTTTGGCATTTCCATTCTGTGCATTCTCTATGCCAAATCAGCCATGTAAGAAATACAAAGTGGATCTTCGTTAAGCTTCAGGATGTTGTATATTTTTATTTCTTGAAAGTAAACAAATTTATAATATAAGATATAGAAAAAATTTAAAAACACAACCAGTAAAACAGGATTTTAAATAATTAAAAAATTGGAATTCAATAACAAAAGTTTTTTTAGCTGATAATCAAGTCATTTGTTGAAAAAATTCATATTTCCATAAATTCAGAATGTGTAGAAATTAGTAGTTTTCATTCTGGAATGTAGGTTGCAGTTTTAATCCATATACATGAATAAACTATAGTTTATTTTAACTTTAGCTGACAGCAATCATTCAAATGATCCACAAAATTTAAAGTAAAATTAAATTAATATAATTATAAATTTAATACAACTGAATTTTTATGTATGCATATTTAAATAAATAAATGACATATTTTTACCAAGATTGTACATTGTTATAATGAAAAACTAACTATTGGGTGGATTCATAAGTTCGTTCAGTTTTTGTTAGTAGTGCGAATTGTTTTCAAATATCTCCAGTGCTCTTTGCCTTATCTGGCAATTATGATACTTACCGGAAAATTCAAAGTCCAATCTTTGAAACTTCTGTGTTTGGTATCATTGGCATTAATTTTGTCTGTGCTACAACATAGTGAACATGTTAAATGATTAAGTGAATTTTCTGCATTTTTATTTCAAAAAAGGCAAGTGAGCTACGGAGGTCCACCGAAAGATGTGTAAGGTAGACGTGGATAATGCCTTAACAAAATGTACAGCTCAAAAATGGTTTGTCAAATTCTACGGAGAAACGATTCTCGAAGATGCACCCCACAGCGGTTGGCCCACCGAGGTTGATTCGAGTGATATCAAGGCTCTAATTGAACAAGACAGGTCGCTACAGGTACGAGAAATTGTGGAGACACTGAAAATAGGTTTTGGGACCGTTCAAAGGCATTTAAAACTGCTTGGCAGGGCCTCGATGTTTGGGGGTCACACAAACTGACTGAGGAAAACCTGGCCAAGCGAGTAACAATCTGAGACTCTCTTCTGAACTGTCATGAAGCGGATCCATTCTCAATCGAATAGTGACGGGTGACAAAGAGTAGATCATCTACGACCATGTAGTGTGCAGAAGATCGTGGAAAACTGCTGACGAGCCATCTAATAACACCCCGAAGTCCGAAAAAGATTTTGCTCTCCATATGATGGGATTATCGCAGCATGCTCTTTTACCAGCTGCTTCCACAAGGAAAAAAGGATTGATTTGAAGATCTACTGCATGTATCTAACGAAACTGGACCAATCATTGCGACAGAAACGCCCAGAACCAGTCAATCACAACGGTCTTACATTCCACTATGACGTCAGACCATACTCCGTAATAATCACACAGTAAAAGATAGTGCAACCTGGCTAAAATGTTTCATTACCCCCACCATATTAAACAGACCTTGCATCATCCAACTACCACTAAATCCGGTCCCTCCATAAATCACTCAATGGGAAATTGTTCGTTGATGAGAGAGATGTGAAAATGTACCACGATCACTTTTTCGCTTCTAAGCCTCTGATGTTTTACGAGAGAGGAATAATGACATTGTTAGAAAGATGTCAAGAGGTCATTAATAAAAACAGCAGATATATTATAGAATAAAATGTATTCTTTGTATGAAAAAAACATGTTTTATTTCACCCTTCAAAAACTGAACAAACTTGTGGATCCACCCAATATTACAGGAGAAAACTAAATAAAATGATACATACAGATCTATTTTGAAGACTACTTGTAACAACAGCATGGAATCTAGGCCAAATATGCAAATTAGTTGTAAATAAGGTTCTCATAATTCTCTCTAGTTTCATCAAACCTGTTGTGAATGTTTGAGGAGATCGTGAAAATGCATTTACAAAACCAGTCTAAAATAACCAAATCAAATGTTAAAAATAATTTTAAAATATTATAACTATAGATTATAAGCATATGTAATGGATACTTTGAATTTCAAACAAAGAAGAAGCAAACTTAATCTCAATTTGAAATTCAAGTCAATAGAAGTCTTAAATGAAATGGTAACTTACTTGGTTCTGTTGCCGAAAAAGCCTTAATGCAAATGCATCTTGACAAGATTCTAATATGCGATGTGCTCTCATAACAATAAATCCAGTTATCATAGTAATGGGCACTCTTTCTTTTAATAGATCCACAACTAAAATACGAGATGAAATAAAAAGGAGACCACCTTCTAAATATAACTTCTCCCTGAAAAGAAAAATTATATATGTTGTAATATATTTTGGTAGGACATTTGTGAATTGATATTATTTTATTAACTGATTTTATCAATAAAATCATGTCATGAATCAACCAAATCATGAACTCTCAAAGAGAAATAGCCTAACAGATCAATAGTAAACTGCATAGGATTCAGCAAAAGGACTTAACAATAGGACAATGGAATATTTTATCCCTGTATAGACTGGGGTTGCTTTGGCAACTTCTAAAACCAGTTGACAATTACAACCTCAACTTATTCGATCTGAAGGAGGTGAGGTGGAAAGAAAGTGGAGTTCTGCAAAAACAGTTCCACACCATATATCACAGCAGCCAAAAGCATCTACATGTCTCTGGAACGGGCTTTGTAGTAAGGGGAATCTGGTAATAAATTTCATCTTTATTACCAGATTCCTGGTTCTTTCCTCGGATTCCTGGCACCCACAGAAGTGTCTCCTGATGATGAGAAGTAGGCATTCTACAGTCAGTTAGACAGGAATCTCAACAGTTGCACCCCCGAAACTTGTCTGCCTCATCAAGATGACTATGGATGATGCTAGGTGCACTGTTCGGGTACAATTGGACCTGACACCTGAATTTGTTTCCATGCGAGGAATTAGGCAGGGAGATGGGCTTGCCTGCCTGTTGTTTAACCTGGCTCTGGAGAAGGTGATACGTAACTCGGGGATCCAGAATACCAACACTATCTTTAACAGATAGTTTACTAGGATTTGCTGACGATCTAGATCTGATAGTATATTCCTTAGAGTCTCTTAAAAGTGTATTTTTAAGATTGGCTGAAGCAGCAGAAGCTTTGGGAATGAGTGTAAGCCAGGAAAAGACAATGTATATGCGAGCAGGACCTGAAACAGAGACCTTAGCACAAGTACCGTTGGTTATGGGCCCACTTACGTTCCACAATGTAGACCAGTTTACCTATCTGGAAGTTATTGTAAGCTGTGGAAATAGAATATCCCTGGAGGTTAACCAGCGAATAATAAGGGCTAACATGTGCTATTTTGGCCTCAGCAAACACCTTGGAAGCTCTGTCATCTCCCGTCATACAAAATGCCTCATATATAAGACCCTCATTAGGCCTGTTCTCACATATGGATCGGAAAACTGGAACCTCTCTAGCAAAGAAGGAAGATCCTTCGGCGTATCTTTAGACCTGTTAAGGTCAGTGATGATTGGAGAAGGAGGACTAACAGGGACCTATATGATCTGTATGGAGAGACAGATGTGTTGAGGGGTATCAACAAGCTTGGGCAACTATGTTGGGCTGGCCAAATGCCAGAAGAGGAAGTTCCAAGGAAGTTGCTTGATGGGAAGCCATCATCTGGGACGCCAGAGAAGTATTGCATACCCGCAACTGGCAAGCGACTGCGCAGGATAGAGCCATCTGGTGAGGGCTCATCGAGGCAGCCAAGGACCACACCGGTCTGTAGCGCCATGGAGTTAGTTAACTGATTTTATAGATTAGGAGCTACCGCCGGTTTCATTTAATGGAAGGACTTGCAGCTATAAACCATTTTAAATTATAGATAGATTAGATGAAAATGAATCAGAAGCATACCAACTAACAGTAGCAATTTAAAAACTGATGGCCACAAATTCACTCCATTTGTGGGGTATACTTAGTGGAAGGACATGCCACTTGAACTGGACTCAAAATGTGCAGCGTATATTTTTTATAACACTTAGAATGATAAAAAATATCAATTTCTTCAGCTTGATTTGAATCCTTGATTTTATGAAAATCCGAACTTACCGCAGTTTAACTGCTTAAAAGTTCCCTTTAAATGGTTTCCAAATAGACAAGATTTACTTGTATTTATTTTCAAACAAATAGACGATAGATACCTAATTATTTAAATATAATATCAGATCTATAGGAGTGGGGTAGCTCAGTGGGTGAGTACTGACTTCTAGAGCTCAAGATCCTGGGTTCAAATCCGGCTAATGACTAGTAATTTTTCATTAGCTGTGGATTGACCCTGGGGTCGGGAGACCTTCCTGGTGCACACCCAGCCTCTATAAAGTGGGTACCCATAATTAAAAAAATAATTAAGGGAGAAAAACTGGTGGTCGAGCGTGATATCAGCCCCATCCCATCACTTCCCTGCACAACCGTTGGCCTTGAAACAGTACTTCCTCACATTAGTACTGCACCCAAGACCCTTCATAGGTTGTAGTGGTACAGTTTTTTTTTTTTTTTTTAAATATTAGATCTAGAGTTATTAAACTACAGTAAATATATTTAAGGTTATAAGCGAATCCATGAAATATTTTTATATTTCACTTCTTCTTTTACACAAGTACAATAGAATAGTATCTTAAACAATGTCATTGCCTTGAATCTGTGGGTTTTAGATACTTTTTGAAACTTAAAAAAAAAAAATTAAAAGTTCACATTTAGTAAGAAAATTTCATTTAATTTCCTTGAAAACACCTGATTTATATTAAATAATATTAGTTGGGGAAATTATTATTTATATTTTTTTTCATCACTCTCTGTTATCTTCTACAACTTTCTATATTATATATGTATATATATATATATATATATATATATATATATATGTATATATATATATATATTTTTTTTTTTTTTTTTAATTCTCCATTTTTCAATGGTATACCTTCTGACTATTATTTTCGGATATTCATTTTCAACCTGAATAAGTATCTTTCTTTTTTCTCCTTTATTTAATTATCAAATTCTTCCAAAAGTTATATTTAGCAATTTTCCATAACTTCTAACAATGATAAATGGTTATTATGTATAATAAACCAAATTAAAGGTACTTCAGAGGAAGACATAATAATGTTGGAATTTCACAAAGGGAAAATTCATCAAATTATTCACTAATTTAATTTTCTAAAAAGTTACATGACAATTTTTCGAAATAAACTGACGTTGATACCTAATTATTTAAATATAATATCAGATCTAGAATCATTAAACTACAGTAAATATATTTAAGGTAATAAATACATTTTATATTTTACTTCTTCTTTCACACAAGTACTATGAAATAGTTTTTTATTTTCACTTACATACATATGTAATATATAGTAAGGGTGAGTATTGCGATTATGATAATTTTTTAATACAGAAATACGTGATTTGGAGTACTCTGAGTCCAAATAAACAAGTTCTGAAAAATGGTCTGTTTGTTTGTATGTTAGCAGTCTAGCTCAAAAACGATAAGTCGTACGAAACTGATATTACATATTTAAGATGTGACAGCCACGTTTTCCTTAAAGTCAGTTAACCGGAAGTGCCACTTTATATCAACAGAGAAACACATTTTTACAATTTCCTCAAAAACAGCTCTAACGATTTTGATTAAACTAGGTGTATCATTGTATAATTAAGTGGTCTTTAATACCATTTAGGTCTTATCCCCATTGATGTCACTTTACAGGGCTTAAATGTCCAATGTTCATATGCATCTACGTCGAAAGTACCTTTAACATGGTTTATTTTAAATAATTAAATATCTCTCATTATTAAGAGTTACGAAAAAATGGTAAATATAACTTTTGAAAGAATTTGATAATTGAATAAAGGAGAAAAAATGCTTAATCAGGTTGAAAATGAATCTTTGGAAATACTAGTCAGAAGGTATACGTATTATATATAGTTGGAAAGCGGAGAATTTTAGAAAAAAAAAATCTAATATAGAAAGTTGTAGAAGTTAACGGAGAGTGGCAAAAAAATTATGAATAATAATTTGCGAAAACTAATAATATTTAAAATAAATCATATGTTTTCAAGGAAATTAAATGAAGTTTACCAACTAAATGTAACCTTTTAAAATATTTTTAAGTTTGAAAAAAAATATTTAAAATCCATCTAATCAAGGCAATGACATTGTTTAAAATAAGAAGTAAAATATACAATCATTTCATGGATGTATAAAGCATATGTTTATAATCTTAAATACATTTACTGTAGTTTAATAATTCTAGATCTGATATTAAAATAATTAGGTATCAACTTCTGTTTATTCCGAAATATTGTCATGTAACTTTTTAGAAAATTAAATTAGTGAATAATTTGAGTACTTTTTCATTGTATTTGTGTGAAAGAAGAAGTGAAATATAAAAATATTTCATTGATGGGTTTATAACTTTATATATATTTACTGCAGTTTAATAAATCTAGATCGAATATTATATTTAAATATTTAGGTAAGACAGATGCCCTATCATCCGTTTATTCCGAAAAATCATCATGTAACCTTTTAGAAAATTAAATTAGTGAATAGTTTGATGAAATTTCCTTTTGTAATATTCCAACAGCATCCACTTACAATTAGTTTGACAACTTTTGACCTGTTTATGACAGACAATACAAATCTCTGAATTCCATTTTAGTAAACTTTGCAATGGAAAATAACAGTTTAATAACTAATAGTCGTACAATCCATAATTAATGGATCATGCAATCCTTAATCAATGGATAGTACAATCAATAATCAATCGATGATATAATAAATAAAATTTTTGTTATTTTAATGGTATTTATGATTTGTTAGCTGTAATTTTTTAGCTTTAGCTCGGATAAAAATGCAATTCAAAAATTTTATAATAGCCCAACATGGCCAGAAAATAATTTCTATTCAAAGTTAAGCGGTAAGTGAAAGTTGTGTTGCACGCAACAGATTTTTACAAATTTTCTATATATTTTTTTTTGTTTCCAGTGATAGGAGATAATAGATAGATAGATGATAGGAGTTTTTCCATATAGATGTCTAACGTAAATTATTTAATCAGGAGAAACAACATGACACACAAACGAAAGCTGAAGAGTTTGTTGTTTGAATGCACTGATTTCAGAAACTATAAGTCTAAGGAGTAGCTCAATTAAACAAGAGTTCAACCATAGTATGGAAGATAAGTTGAAAATTTTCATGAACTTTTATTTTGACTTTCCTATTGGCTATAAAGTGTCAGGTTCTTCAATGGTCACCCAAGTATAATCTTTGCCAGACTTTAATTGCAACATATAAGACTTTATCTGAAATATATTTCTTTTATAATATCAATAAAAACCTAGGCAAAGGCTCTTTAAAACATGATATTAAATTTTTTACATTTACTACCTCATAACCGTAACATTTAAGTGTTTCAACAATTACTGATTTTGGAGTAGAATGATACAAGTTTTTAATTACCATTCTTGGGCATCTGTCTTTAGGTAGCTGCACTGCGTGAAAATCAGCATTTCGGGTCCAAAGTGAAATAATATTGATAATTAACACTGTAGAAAATATATAAGTCTAATAAAAAATCAGCATTAAAGAATAAATCCTGGATACATACAAACATATTTTGAGAAAAAGCTTGCATTTTATTGCAAAACCACATGATAAATTAATAACTAGATCATAAACTCAGAAGAATAAATTAACAATTTACCTTTCTGAAGTTGATACTTCAGCAGATATGACTTTTGGGAGCGGAGTAAACTCCATTTTCTGTAATTCTGAAATAAAAAATTGCTCTTCATCAGAGGTAGCCCCAAGAACAAGCACAAGGTTTCCAGGATCAGAATATACTTTGATCAGATTTAAAATAACCATCTCAATGCTCAAACCTCTAAAAAAAAAAAAATAAAAACATAAAGCAACTCCATACTAACCTCAACAATATACTATTAATATAATTATATTTCAACAACTATAATAATGAACTGTATTATTCAACTACCAAGAAAGGGAAAATATGAGTAAATCAAGTACTTGTAGCTCCATCAATACAGACCTACGCTTTACAGAATAAATTCTTGAATTAAAAAGCAATTTATGATTACAGTCCAGTCAATGAATGCTCGAAAAGGAGGTATAGAAGGAAATGGCACAATTTTTGACTTTGGGACATTGTTTGGACTAATAAGGATATAAAATACTAAAAGTCCGCACACCTATGTGGTGAGCCAGATGTGAGAGGGCGCCTAGAAGATCACTTGTTTAGGATTTTCACTTATATTGGGAAAACTATCGCATCAATAAAGATATTCTATACAAAATTAAAGCTGATAAAATTTGCAATGTGGTAAGCCAGTTAATACCTTTTTTCGCTACCTCGCATAGTTTCTCAGATATACCTAGGGCTAGTTTTGAAAAAAAAAAAAAATTGCTTCATGTTTATTACTGAATTTGACTAGCTAACGCTTGATTGCATCGTTATTCAATCAAGTCATGGGAAAGAAAGTTTTAAATAATTAATTTTTTTTCAAGAATATATATTGACAGCCACACTGCAAAAGCCTGTAAGAACAAAAACTAAAAATTTTCAGGAGACAAAAAAAAAATTCATAACTTTTATTCCATAAGCATTATATATTCAGTCCAATTTTTTTTTGCAGGCCTGTAAAAATCTGGGCCTTGAATATAAGATTCTTATATTCACAAATAGTAATATAGTCACAAATGGTAGAGAAACCTGGATACCTAAAAAAGACATCAACCTGCTAGACAGGATTGAATAAATAATTTTAAGAAGAACTCTAATTCTTGTTTATGAGAATGGTCAAGGGATAAAAGAAAAATAGTGAAGTCTTTCGACTTTATAAGGAACCTCTCCTCCTGTTTTATCAAAATATAAAAACTAAAATAGCCTAGCTATTTGATGAGGATGAGTGATAAAAGAGATGCTAGTAGGTTGTATATGAAGTTCCTGGATCCTGGATGTTGTCTGCTTACATGGTTGGAAGGCTAAAGGAGGGATGGGGTAAGACAGAATCTCAGTACCCATGCAAGAGATTGAGAAAAATGGTTGGGAACTGTTGAGCAGGACAAGAGCAACTTCATGCACCTCTTATGCCATTAAAAGAAGAAAAGCTCTAAAACCATAAGATTTATTGAAAACCGGAAACAGAAAAATTTGATCTGATTGCGATACCTTTCTAATCTATTGGAATAAATAATTTGAAATTAAGGAACTGATAACTTACTTTGCTGCAATGAGAAGACTGTCACCATTTAGAACATCGAGCATCATTTGCTTTTCAAATTCCAACATTGTCATAAAAGAAATATTTCTAGAAATATATCAAAAAGAGTTGATAGTATTAGCAAAAAGTTTGGTTGCTCCTCCTACAACAAAATGCTATTGAAAACAAAACTAATTTACAGTAAATTATTAACTAAATGATATTACACTTATTTTAATTGGCTTTAATAATAATTCTTATAACAACATGAACTCTTGATGATGTACTTGTATGTTAGTTCAGACAGACTATTATCAATGCACATTTAATAATAATAAATCAATAACATGTTTAAATGGTATTAATAAGGTCCTAAAATCAGAATATCAAGAATGCAGATAAAAGGGCTAGAGGTAGTACAAAACTTAAAATACTTTAGAGCAGGGATCTCCAAACCCTGCTCTCAAACGTTTCTTTGATTATACGGTAATTAAAAAAAAAAACCAACTATAGTGTTTGGAAAATCCTCTTCTTCCCAAGTTGTTCTTCTATTATTTACTTAAACACCTAAGTAGAATGTTAGGAAAATTGACATCTACAAATATATAAGGTATAATCATCTGGTGTCTTTCACGAAACATTACAGCTCCTAGCAAGTAGATTTTTTTCTCCTGTAGTGGTGTGTCATATACAAAAAAGTCTTGAATTTCGTTCGGAGTATGGTAGACATCCGACTACTATACCAACTTCAAATATTTGTAGATGTCAATTACGTTATCAATTTACCAAGGTGTTTAAGTAGATATGGAAGTAAATTCCCGTAGGATGGATAGGATTTACAGATTTTTGAGGCATTTATAAATATTTTTATTTAAATATTTCTTTTATAATTTTTAATAATTTTATTCTTAAAAGATACTTAAATAAAAAAAATAATTACTTTGAAAAACAGTACTAGCACCAAAATATTGCTTTTTAAGGTAGATTAAAAGAAACAAACAAACCTTAAAAAATAATTGCTTGTTGCACAGATATTTAATGTTTAAATTGTCAATTAAACTAATATTATAGATTTTTTCATAAAAAAAGTGGAGTTATAGTTTGATTCAGCAAGCAAAAAAATCTTATATGTAAAAAATATCAAAAATAAAAATGATAAAAACGTTGATACTAAAAGGGTAGGAAGAACTAATAGGAGAATAACACACAGTTCTTTAATTTAATTGAAATTACAGACCAGGTGTATTTACACCCTGAATGAACTAATTCAAAAGAACAATGTAGCTGAAGGTACAAACAGTCAAAAACATTGGATGTAATTAGTTTTAAAAAGCCCAAGGGGGATTGTCACTTTTATATTAGCAGTTAATAGAAGATAAATTTATCCTCATCTCGACAAGTAGAGCTTAATTGGAATTGTTGGCCATTTACAGAAATTATTTCATTTATGTGGATCAAATCCATGAAGTTTATAAGTATGAATTAAATTTAATTAAAATCCTGGTGCAGTATGATTTAAAGCAAGTAATAATTTGCCAATTTATGCCCTCAAATCAAATGGAAATGAAAAAAAATTAATGGAAATATTTTATAATTTATTAAATCTAAATTACCTAATCACTTGGCCCCATGGGCGGGTCTACAGGGGAGGGGAGGGGGCTTTCTTAACCATGTCTTATGAAAAAAAATTTAATAATTACATCTAAAAGTAATAATTACATTGGCCAGATGTAATATTTTAATTTTGTTCTATTTTGTTATTCTCAAGGGACTGTGTCCCAGAATAAAGTTATTTTTCTATCTATCTTTTCTATCTAAAAGTATTAATGTTCCTGTAATTACATTTAATAGTACTTAAACTCTACTGCTTATAGGTATTTAGTTCCTTTCTTTTTCTTCCTAAGTAATTATCATTGTATAATTAACAAAAAATTCTTTTGGGCTGAAGTCCCCGCCAAAAAATAAATTCTGGATCCGTTAGTGCCCGCCCTGATTATATCTCAAACATTAAAGAGTGATATGGCAAAATCCTTTTGCAATACTTGGAAAATATTAAGAAAGATACTCTTAGTTTGCATTTATTTTGTTTTTGGCATTTTAAATCTATATTCTATTAGGAGGACTGGAAAGTAATGCCATTTCTTCATTAAATTAAACATTATTTCTTATATTAAATTCAAACACATAGGTTTTGAACAACTTTATATTTTTAATCAAAGATGTAATCAGCCTCACTATCAACAACTTTAAATCATCTAGTATGCAAAATATATAGAGATAGCAATTTAGACATCATCCAAATTCACAAATCTTTTGACACTTAGAATGCGTTGAAGCAATCGGAATAAATGGAAATCTGATGGTGCAACATCTGGCGAATATGGTGGGTGAGGCAGTACTTTTCAACCAATTCATTAATTTTTTTCCAGGTTTCGTCTTGTACAGAGCGGTTTTGCATGATCATGTAACAGAATAATGCCTTTCTGTTGACTCCAGTTGACTGAATATCCAATTTGCTACATAAATAGCTTTAAATTGAATCATACAAATCTTACCTCTGAAGCCTCCTGTCCCTCAGTTTCTTCTAAGTTTTCATTAAAGCTGCCAATATTTAAATCATCAAAACTGTTTTCTGTCTTTAAATTCAATTCAAGAATATACAAACTTTCCTCATGAGAAGGGTGGCCATAAATTCCAATGCCAATAGGACGGCCAAAACTGTAAAGTGAAATAACTCAGTCACTAGAAATAAACATTTCTAATTGTTAGATATAATTACATTACATTCAGGAGAACATAGTTTCTCGAAACTAACTAAAGCCCTGAATAAAAATAAAACAATAATATTTACTCAGAGGGAATATCCACTTGGTCTACACCACATGTTGCGGAATGTAAACAATAGTCCTGAGGCTCATATGTAGGAGTAACATGCTTTTGTGATATATACAGATCTGCATCTCCTTTACTACAGAAATTAATTTTATAGTATACTTTGAAACTGACATTATAAATTGAAAGCATTTAATATCACTAACAAACCTTGTATGAAGCACTAATGAAACTGGTCCTTCAGCAAGGAGAGTATAGTAAGTGAAATTTCCAGCACTTACCGAACCACTAACTGATTTAAAATACTGGGAATCAGATCGCAGTGACTCAGTCTAAATAAATTAACAAAAATTCTTAAATGAATCATAATATTCTTAATGCAAATTCAAAGCAAAGCAGAAAGTAGACAGGTTATTTTGGGTAGTTTGCTTTCATGAATACTTACTATACTACTTAAAAATAAATTTCATATACAGTAATTTCAAAATTCACAAAGAGGTTTTCATTAAAAAGATTTTGTAATATAAATGTAACATTGTTTTAATTTGTAAATAGGCATTGTAAGTACTATTTCAAAATGAAATAAATAACTTCTAGCTTTAAAGGTAGAAGTATTACCCTGAATATATTATATTGAGGTGCTGTCAAGTATATACTGATAATAATCATTTATTAATAATATGATAATCATTGGTTGATAATTATAGAATTAATTATTGTTTGACAGAATAATTAGAAAGACTTACTACTGATATAAGTGTTAAGAAACAAAATATTATCATTATATGGTAACTTCAGGGGGTAATTATAGATAAGGAAATTGAAGGAGCAGAATAGAAGAGAATAAATGTTTTGATGAATAACCTACAATAAACCTCCTAAGCAACCAAAGATCAAGTACTTAGGTTATAGTATTTATTGAATTATCTTAAACTTTCAACAAGTTTATTGTAGAATTATTCCAATCATTAATTTGGATATCAATAAATTTTAAATGAAGACGATAAATAAAAATTACTATATGATTTTTAAATGAAATTTTAGTTCAAAAATCTGATCACAGATCTCTCTACAATAAGAGAGAGTGCCGAGAAACATGGCTGAAGTTTTGACGGATACTGGCTCATCAACCATATACACCTTGTTAGGAAAAGCAAGTCCAGGACTTGAGTTGGATTCTAAAATAGACCTCTCCCCACCATGCTATTAGGCCTAGTTATTCTTCAGTCAAGACGCGTATGGAGTGTAGGGTAGTTTAGATAATGTCTTTAGAGACCCGTTCAAGTTCGGCTCTTTTTAAAAGGGCTGAACAGTTGAGAAGATGGGAGGAATCTGAAACTAATCGTGTACCTGTTTTGGTAAATGGAAGGACTAAAAAGATTAAATTTTCTGCGGGTTGTGTGTTTTTAGCTGCATGTAAAGCTGGTGATAGAGACGAAATTTTGCGCCTTCTGAAAAAAGGAGCTGACATTGATACTCACGATGTAGATGGATTATCCGCCTTACACCAGGTAGGTAGATTTAAGCCATTAACACTCCTTACACCCTTTCGCCATCACAGGTTCAGCCATTACATTTGTTTTTAAATCAAGGCTGACCACATGTCAACGTTTTCAGTAATTTAAAGTTCGTTAAGAGAGATAATTAAATTGTCTAACTAAAAAAAAGAGAAGTTAAATTGACTTTTATATCCCTGCTGGTAGTGATAAGTACTATAACAGCATTGTTTTGACATGACAATTTCTTTTCTCCAAAGATTCCTATAGATCACTAAATAAATTATTTGTTGTTCAAGTTTGTTATTGCATATAATTCTTTTCAACACACATAAGTTCTCTAAATGTTCAGTGAAGATTTTAATTGTTTCATTATTTATTTAATAGTAGGGTTTGTTTACTGCTATTAGATTATTTCGTTATAATTTTTTTTCATAAAAATTGACAAGCATATTAATTTCATTTCATAACCATTACAAAATTTATTTCCAATTTGTAATTGCATTTTAAATTGGTTAATGTTCATTTTATCTTATATAAATTTAGAACTTTGCTTTTACACATACGAACAACTAAAATTTTTAATATTTATGCTTGGTTTGATTATTTAGAATTTAAATATAGTATAAAATTTCTATAGTTGTTTAGAATTGTGTAAATAATAAGTTAATGTTTATACTAAGGAAAATGTTTCATTATGATAAGTTATTTTTTTTCATTTCGTTCATAATTGTCCTTTATATTTTATTTTACAAAAATATGTTAAAACTAAGGTTTTCTTAAACATTTGCTAGAGCCGAAGTATGTAAATCTCAGGTCTTATCTCTCCCAATGTTCACTAACTACACTGTCTGATTAGAAGAACTGTGATGATATGGTTTTGACTTTTTCTATTTCAAAGTCCCTTAATTTTTAGTGAATTAAGTATTAGAAGTGTCTTATTGTGAAGTATTTCATTGAACTACACTTGTTTGAATCCCAAACTGTATTTATTGCTTTGTGTTTATCATTACCTCATATCTATTTGTTCCTTTTAAAGCATTTTTCTAAATATATACCAAGAACAGAGACATTCTGGCCAGGATCAGCTCTATTTTTGCACAATACTTTTGGCTCAATATTTCTTTTTGAAAGATTTGTATTCAGTAATATTTTAAATTCTACATAAATCTTTTTTTTATCTGGAATTCTGAGTTATTGTTGAATTATGAAATGTTTTAATGTTCAAAGATGTAAAGCTATGTAGAGCTATTATCAATAAAATAGTGTTATATTTGATAATAGATATTTAATTTCTGTTCATTAGTTGTAATCATAAAATTGTTGAGACCCATTTCAAAATATTTTTTCTTAATTTAATTATGGTTTTATTCATTATTAAATTTAATGTTGGTTGTTTTTAAATAATTTTATTATTAATAGAAGTATTATAAACCGTTTTAGCTGTATTTAATGGAAATCTGAGTCATTAAATTTAACAAGCATTCAAGCAGTTACTGCCTGGTTATTTGTTTCATTAGTTAATTTTTTGGTTGATATTACTTTTCTTTTATATTAATTGCGTTACACATTCATTTAAATATCATTAATTCATATTCTGGTAGTTACTATAATGAAGTTTTTTGAAACTCCACAAATCTAGGATTGCTGTTGATTTTTTTCCTTGAGCTATATATAGTTGAAGAGTCCTGTACCTCTTTTATCTAATAACGTTGATCTAGTCGTTTAAGTTATTTCACTGGCCATAATATTTTCTCTATGATCTATTATATTATAAATTTGTTCGTTTCATAGGAAAAAATAGTAGAGTTGATCATTTTGTAGGTGCTGAAACATATCCTAAAAAAAAAAAAATTAATTCCAATTTAGTTAAGGCTTAAATGTTGGAAGCCAGTAAGTTTTAAATTTTAGTTTGATCGACTTTGTATTTTCAAGATTCTGCTGAATTAGGTATTTGTATTTAGTCTGAATTCTATTTGATACTGAAGAGTGTATTTATTTTCTGTTTTTTTCTTTTTAAATTCTCAATAGTCACAAAACAATTTTTTAATTAAAACGATAATATCAATAATATTTATCATATTTTCATACAGGATTGTGATTTATCAGTTTTATTTATTACTTTATTTTTACATTTATTATTTAAATGTATGCTTTGGTATATATAGGATATGATGTCAAATATTAGTAATTATGATAAAAGACTTTTTTTAATACTATATAAGTTAAGATAAAGTAATAATAGGTTTGCCAATTAATTAATAATAGGAAATAATTTAGACACCTAAATTAACTGACATTTTATTTATTTCTATTATAATAAACTTATTTAGTTTTAATAAACTTAAAACATAAACTAATATATTATCTACTTTAATATCTAATTTTGTAAATGTCTGCTTATGTTATTTTGTACAGTGGAACTATTAGAAATGCTTCTTAAAGAAGAATTAATCATGTATAATGTGAGAAATAACTCAATCTATTTAACAGTAACTAACTATTTTACCTCATTTTTTAGTGATTAGTTACTTCAATTGTAGCATTAAATTAGTTACCTATAATTTATTTATCGGTATTACAATAAAAGCATTCATATTAAGACATTCGAATTATTTTGGCTCCACTGCAAAAGATGTCTAATAAATAATATATGCATGTGTACAATTTAATCAAAATTATATATTTAGGATGATAAGTTTCGTTTTAATTTTTAAAAAAGTTTTCTTCTTTTTCAGTTTACTTGTTTCTATATTAAATGAAAATTCAGAAAGTATGAAAATTAGATACTTTTTTAAACTTTGAAAAGTGCCACGCTTCGGTAACTACGAGATATCCGTAGAAAGCGGAAAGAATTATGATTAGCCATGCTTAGTTAAAGCCTAAAATACCAAGCAAAGATCTTTTCTTTCTTGTCATCGTAACGCTTACCAAATTTTGTATTATAAAAACTGCGTCCAGACTGTGTAATATTTCTAACTTTCTTAGTTGTTTACGTCACATCTTAAGTTTTATCAATTCATGATTATTTAATATTTAAAACTTTTTTGTTAGGATTACTTATTAATTTTGATGTGCTTGATTCATAATTTAATAGTCAAGAATTAATTGCTAACTGCAATTTTCTGTTTTCCCTTTTACAATTTTTTAATGAATCGTTGTAGTGGAATCGATTTAGTCAATCTATAAATATTAAATACAAAATTATTAAACATACAAATATTAAATCTATAAATATTTTACTATTTTTAAATATCTTATATTTCTTTGTTACATTTTTTTTAGTACTAGTTAAGAGTAATACGTGTTAAGTGTTATTTAAATTTGAATCTATTAACCAATATAATTTTTTAATATCAATTGTCATGTCATTATTTAAGCCGAAATGTCCTTTAATGGTTAATTTACTGTGATGGAAACCGTCAGTGGCTGCCAATTAAATAATATGTATTTTTAATTGTCAGCTTAACGGCAGTCTCTCTGATGTGAAGGTATGAATTGTAGGCAATCCAGCACGACATGAGCAGACGACTCTCAGCCAGTGTTACCGATAATATTATTTATCTTGAATTTTATAATATTTAATAAGAAAGAACTCACTCCAGCTTGCTTGGAACCAGGCTCGGTCTGGCCATATGGCACGGTGGGGTAGAACGCCCTAAAACCTGGCAAAAATTTAAAAAATGAATGTTTTCTTTTGAAGAATTGTTATTGATATTAGAACACAGCAGGAGTTGGCGGACTTGACCCAGGTATGAAGATGTTTTGGACTTCACCAGCTCGTTCCGAAGTTGACAATCTTATACTATCTTTCCGAGCGTTAATATCAACAGTTGTCTTTACGTGTCTATCTAGCAATGAGCTTTTAACATTTTAAATTCAATCTAGTATGGATAGTGCCACAATGTAAGTAATTAAATTTCGTATTATATCAATTTTTGTCTATGATAAATATTGACTGGGAAGATGACAATTTTTTCAAAAATTAATCTTTTATTCAATTTTATATGTCCGTTAGGAATAAGATTAAAATCTTAATCCAACTTGTTCCTTTCCGATTTTTTAAATTTACTTACAAATTGAAATGCAATCAGCATTAGATTTTTTTTTAGCTGATCCAGTTGACAACGAATATATTTTCATATCTAGAAGACGGCATAATTAAGTTATAATAAATGCACAATAGATATGTGATGCACAATGATATGTTAGAATACCTTAAACAAGTATTTCTTAACTTTCAAACTGTTCAGAAAATAAATTACCAGAAAATTTTCATATACCATAATTTTTTTCCTTTCAAAATTTAAGAAGTGGGAGAAAGGTAACCGATTAGAGAGTAGATTTCTTAGAAATAATTTGACGTGGCTAGATGGTTATGAAAAAATTAACAATTATGAAAAGTTTTCAGTTATCATACAATAAATGTTTGGACGCCTTTATGGCTAGTACCAATGCCTTCATCTGTTCACAAAATTTTTTTTTTTTTTTTTTGCACTTACATTTATTTATCCGCACCTGTCAATTATTATTGACAATCAGCAGATGTGCTGGCTTAGTAATGAGAGAAAAATAAAATAAAATAAAAAATAAATAAATAAAAAAGGCTTGATAGGCATGAGGAATAGCAATACCCAGCGGTATCCCTTCCATGGCTTTTATTTACTAGCATTATTTAAGCAGATCCCTCATCCAGACCCTTTTCAGTCGTCTTCTGGAGTTCTCGGGCATACTAGTTGTGGCCATTTCTTTTACCAGCTGGTTAGAGTGCCCGTTTAACATGGTATGAAATCGTTTGTAGTACGTTCGTATGTGTTCATTGACTGTCGGAACGTGTAGGTCGGTGTGTAAAGTGTGATTGTTTACGTAGCATGGTGCTTGAGTGATTAGTCGTAGTATCTTAGACTGAAAAGTTTGAAGTTTATTTATGTGAGTTGGTTTTGCAATTCCGTATATTTGTAGTCCGTAAGTCCAAAGAGGTTTTAAAAGATACGTGTAAATACTTAGTTTCTGTC